AATGCCTTCAATACACTAGGAAGCGATGAATATCAAGATGCTGAGGCAAATACAAAGAAGTATGCAAAGACTATCCGTAATACTCATGAAAAGTTTGTGGASATCATTGCTAAAGCCACTAATCCACTCACCAACRATCCAGGAGACCAATTCATGTACGAGATGTTCACTAAGAAGGTACTGATGGAAAATGGACTAACTGAAGATTATTTGTTTTACAAGCATGTAACTGGCAAGAAAAATGCCGTAAGCAGGGAAATAMTGGATCRAGCCTTAAAGGTTTGGGCAAAGCACTTGAAGAACACTAAGACTGGGGRTCCATTAGACACCAGCACTATGAGTGTAAGGATTCGACAGCTCTTTGTTGCTCTTCACRAGCGTGGTGTCCAGTTTCGCRAAGGAGACTTCAAAGGAAAAGGGGGCTTCATCGCTTTCATCAAGCATGATTATAACAGCAAAAGAAGGAGTGATCCTTCCATAGGAACAAAGAGGACTAAGGCTGAGTTTGATGAGTTTGTGGATGAAAAGTTTAATAAAGTGTTAACTGATGGTACCTACAAGCCTTACGACAACATGCATGACTTGGTGAAGCTGCTTGCAATGGAACTTGGAAGACAGTTCGGAATAAGGGGAGGGACTGAGCTAGTTGGTCTATTGTGGTCTCACGTACGAATGGGGACATTCAAAAATGGAGCCATGAGTGGTCTAAAGTATGTAATCATTGCTCCTGGTGGGGGCTTCGACAAGTCACACCAGCTTTCACTTAAAAATCCCACTACAACTAAGCAGTTTCCATCAGTTGTTGAAGATCCGGAGAACCCAAACTGTGTTGTAAAGCTTGTTTTCTTTTATCGCGAGAGGTGTGATCCAAAGCAAGAAAGGCTCCTTTGCCACCCAAACAACAAGAGAAACAAGAAGAACACCAGTTCTTCTCCTTGTTATTATTTCAAGACCAACTCTCCTGTTGGAATCAACTCCGTAAGGGGCTGGGTGAAAGAGTTTGCGGAAGTAGCTGATTTCAAGGACTGGGAGAAGTATACTCCTCAYGACAACCGGCATAGATGCTGCACTATCCTTGCATCAGATCTTGCTGTTCCAGAAAAGATGCGGATGAATCATCTTAGACACAAGAGTTCTAAGTCTGCAGAGCCTTACATTCATYGTAATTCGGTTATTCAAAGAACTGTGCAAGGTGTGCTTCAAAGTGGCCTCCATGGAGGAGGAGTTACTAGTAAGAACAAGCCAGCTGCAGGGGCTGTGGTCGTTCRACAGCCAGCTGCAGGGGCTGCCGTCRTCCGACAGCAGCCGGAAGAAAAGAAGGGAGGGAAGTCTCTCTCTTGTGGTCCGTCCCCCCCAGCACAAAAAAAGAAACAAGCAGTGATTGTTACTGGTGGTACTGGTGGTAACAGTATGAAGCTGCTCTCCCCTGCCGTTGCTGCAGACAGGACCACCATCAGTCCAACTAAGATGATTCTACGGCAGCAACTTGATGAAGCAAGGAAGGAAGCCGCAAAAAGAAAGAATGAATCRGATGATTTTGAGAGAGCAGCCAAGAACATTAGGTGTGAGCTAGAACAAGCCCAGCAAAAGATCGTGGATATGCACAAGGAAATTGAATCCCTGAGTGAAGATTTGCAAGATTTGCAGAAGAAAATGCTATCCGAGAAGATTCAGGAGGCAAAGGATATCTACAAGCAGAAGGAGCTTGCTTGGGAAAAAGAAAGAAGGTCCCAGCTTGAGAGTGAGCTGAAGATGTCCCAGCGATTGAAGGAACTCGAAGAGGCACGGCGTGCAGGAACAGCAATCAACCAACCCCCCCCCCACTGCATTATTATGTGAATGATCATCCTCCTCGTCGCGACCGGCTCGACCGCACATAATTTTCTCCTTCAGGAACTTTTTCGAAGGTTTTCCAGAGTACAGATCAGAATACAAACGGATTACACGTACTGCGTGAGCAGCTCGCCGATTATATTACAAACTCGTACGTACCCAAGTACCTTCCATAGTCAGAGTGTTGTTTTTATTTTGTCATCCTTGTTTTTCATGATCCATTTTCAAACAATAGCAGGAAGAAAGCTACAACGATGGTATTTTCTACACCATTTCGCACAGACTGTCTTGCGGGTAAGGTTGCTCTGGTAACAGGTGGAGGATCTGGAATATGTTTCGAATTGACGAAGCAATTGCTAGCCCACGGAGCGAAAGGGGCGGTTATCTGTGGCAGACGACAGCAATTTTTGGAGCGTTCCTCATCGATCTTGGAAAGGGAAACCGGCAAGATATGCAAGTGGAAGGTCTGCGACGTAAGGGATCCCAAGGCCTGTGAGGATGCGGTAAAATATGCATTGAATGAGTTTTCAAGATTAGATATTTTAGTGAATGGAGCAGCAGGAAATTTCCTTGCCGAAGCGAAGACTCTGAAACCAAAAGGATTTGCCACCGTCATGTCCATCGATGCTTTGGGTACTTTCAACATGTGTTCTGCGGCATTTCCTGCCCTAGCGAAAGCAGCGAAAGACAAGAGGACAAACAACGACGCCCTTGTCGTAAACATCTCTGGTACGTATCGTGCTTTTCAGAGCGAAACAACTCTCGTCGCAATTGGTTAGTTGATTGTTCGATTTATTACTAACAACCGCGCACGCATTTTAAGCCACGTTGCAATCTCCCGCAACACACTGGCAAGCCCATGCCAGTGCTGCAAAGTCGGCTGTTGACTCGCTCACGCGCAGTTTAGGTTTGGAGTGGGGCGAGTACAATGTTCGAGTGGTTGGGATTGCACCAGGTCCCATCAAAGATACCCCCGGTACCACCAAATTATCCCCTGGAATGTCCGGGGAGGAAGTCAACGATCTCATAGGAAACGGAATACCCCTAGGTCGTATGGGAAGCGCAACGGAAATTGGTCACGCCGCTGTCTATCTTGCTACAGCGAAGTACGTGACGGGTGAAACTTTGATTGTAGACGGTGGGGAATGGCTGTATAAGCCACCGATGGTTCCGAAAGACCTGGTGTCCACGTTATCGCGGAAGGTAGAAAAGAGAAGTCGGGCACAGGCCCCAAAATCACGTCTTTAGATATATTATGTATCGGAAAGAAAGTTATGAACTGCATTGTTGAAAAATCAATTTTTGATTCGATTCCACGCCTCTTTTTATCGCTAAATCCGCGTAGCACTAGTTGCATTGGCTGCGCCAATTCAGCTTGACAAAAGCCCCCTCGAAGATTACTTTGGCTGTTGCTGGGGAATCCACACACCATTGACCGCATCCCACTGCATTCCTTTCCGCGTTCTACCAGCGGGGCGCAAGTATAATCCATCCTTGTCCTTTTTCGGTTTCGAGACGGGCGCCACCGACCCATCGGCGGCCTTTCGTAGCTTGACTTTTTCTGCAGAGTACTTGGACATGTCAACAGTAGAACTACTAGTCGCGGGTATGGGTGCAGGCGCTTTTGCAGGAGCTGTAGCCTGAGTCCTTTGCCTTTGCTGCATCATTTGGCTCTTACGGTTTTGCTGTACGCTAGCACGCATGACCGGCACTGGAATGTTGCGGTAGTTGGCGAGTGTAACCTTAGACCCTCGTTGACCACAAACGGAATTATTTTCCGCCTGTGCTTTCATCACATTTCGCCAAGCGCGTGCTCTCTCGGCTTCGCTTTTCTGAAGTTTGGCATCGATATCGCTGTATTGCTTCCTGTACTCCATTTCGACTCGTGTTTGACGTTGTGCCATGTTCTCTCCTGTCTGGGCATTCATACCCGGAGCTGGTGGAGGTTGGAAGTCGCGGAAAGGTTGAATATTGGCCTTGCCCTCGCCAACCAAAATGCTTCCATCTACAATATCGGCAAGGGTCTGACCCACAGTCGCCCGATGAAGATTTGAATAGTTAGCCTGAACGTATTTCCCAATCACTTGCGTTCCAATCGGTCGATTTCCCCATTTCGTTGGCAAGATAGCTTGAGACTTTTTCATGTCGTATTCAAACTTCTCTTTGATCCAGCGTTGCTTTGCATTGGTGTAGGCGATCGTGTAGTCACTGTGTGCTTTCGCGATCTCCTGTCGCCCTTTTGCAATTGCAAAGGTAAGATTGTGTTGGACCATTTGCCGAGCTTCGAAAAGCTGGGTTGAGAAATGACAAGCTAAAAACCGCGCCGGCKACCAGAAACGAGTGTCAGATGTCCAGTTGACAGATGTGTAGTTGAATCAACTCAAAAATAAAAAACGGCTCCATCTCATTCGTATTATACAAACTCCCGCACTTACCCTTACTATAATCATCCGAGGCGACTTTTAAGCGCTTGTTTGTGAGCGCGACCTGTGACGATTGCAACAAATCTTTGTGAATTAGTCTGATCCTCGACAAATCTTGGTCACGGAACGACGGAGTAGGAGCAAATGATATAGACCGCTTGTTTTTCATGGCCTCTAGAATCGGATCAATTCGTTCCACTTGTTTTCCTTGTTCGTCCTCGCTATCGCTGTTTCCTCCACCCTTTGTTTCGTCTTCATCTATTTCCATGTTCTCACTTCCGTCATTGTTGGCTTCCTTTCTCGTCGGTGACGTCTGATTGTTTGACTCTCCATCTTTCTCTTGTTCGAGCTTAATTTTCTTTACTGGGCTTTCGCAGGTGGTTTCTCCGTCAATAGCAGCGGCTTCGATGCAACGCTTTCTGCGCTCTTCCAAGTGAAACACTCGATTCTTCAATCCAAATTCCTCTATAGAGGATTGCTGGGGAATTCGACGGGACATATTTGTTTGCCATCGTTTGTACTCTGTTTTGAGGTCTTCTGGGTTGGAAAAGTACGCGCTAACTCCAATCTTACCGGGCTGTGGGTCAGAAAGTTCCTCATTCGCAATTAAGTATTTGAAAGAATTGTCGGAAGGATTCAAAAGTTTATCGTAAGCCGTGTCGTATTCTTTGAGTACGTTGTACTCGTTTGCCAATGCCGGCAACGTGTAATACTGCTTCGAAATGTCCGACCCTTCTTGCGCTTTCCTACAATCAATTTCTAGATGCTTCTCGGTTTCTGTCGGAGACGAACAATCCATAGCTTCGATTTCTTTTGAAGCTCCCCCAGATTTCGTCTCGTCCGGTGAATTTCGAGTCTCTTCTGTTTCAGATTTCCCACTAGCTTCGTCTTTATAGGGCTCTTTCTTTTCTGCGATGCTTTCCACTTGCTTTGTCATGTTGCTACTGCTCTCTCTATCGAGGGACCCGACATCTAAAAGGATAGCAGTTTCGATCCTCTTTTTGGCCTCTTCTTTTTTTCCCCATTCTTCAGCCTTTAGTTGCAAGGCCTTCGGGTCTATCTGGAGTCGCAAATCTCCGTATTTGGGAGGCCCYGGGGGAGACAGATCCTTTCCGTCCATGACATAGGCCAGACGAGTGAGTCTTCGGACCAGGCGGTTCGAGAGCTTTCGTCGTAGGTTCATTCGTAACAAAAAGTCGACGCATATCTGTTTTTGCGCTTGGGTCAGGTCGTGCTGCTTCGAATCGATTTTCTCTAGCTCTGTTTTGGAAGCACCGCTGTCTGCTGGTTCTGGTTCTTCGTGCAGTTGCTCGCCGACCAATTTCAGGCGTCCCGAACCCAGGTCCAGAAGCACCAATTCTCCGCACGACTGCAACACCGCGTCTCTGGCTTTATGAAGTGTCTTGTTCAGTTCGTTCAAAGCCGACATTTCGACATCGTTGCGGTCGAGGGACCGAATCAGAAACTTGCGGTGCTCCCGAAACGTTTCGGCGGGGAGGGACGGCGGTGGTCCATTGGTTACGCCGCCTTTCTTCGATCCCGATCTAGCTCCTCGCGGCATGGTCTTGAGCGATGACGGGTTTCACCAACTTAACTTGTTGGAGATATATTATCACGTGATATCGTGGAATTAAATCTAGAATGTTATCGGGTGCTTCGTTTGTGATGCTCCGAGTATCGCACCACAATCGTGCGGAGGTATCTCAAGTGTGGCACCGAGTCAACCAACGCGTTCCAAAGTTCCCGTCCTCCACCCTGGCTGGTACAAGGACAACGATGAGGTACTGGAGACGTAGGGAACTCGTAGCCTGACTAGTACATAGTTCCAAAGTTTCCGACCTGGCGCGAAGCGTAATACCGGCGGCATTGCATGCGCGACAGGAGTGTTTTTGGTTTTCGTCTTGATCTTTCGTACGTACGAGAACGTACCGGTATGGTTCTGTACCGTTCGGTCGCAATATCAAAAATTATTACTGTACGTAGCGTACGGTACTACGATAGGGTCCTCCTCTCAATATTGATTTTCGCAGTGATAGTRAGTAAGTACGTACTRTACGTAGTGTAGTTAAGTACAAAGTCAACGAATTYATGAATCACGGGAGGAAAACCCAAGGGGAAATACAGCGGTTGCAAAGTACTGTAATAGTTTCTTTCATTGGTTTCAATGAAAATCTCAAGGTTCTCTCTGAATGTTGTAAACGGGATTGGCTAATTACCGTAGTTGGTATGGACGGTATCGGGTACAGTGACTAATCGACTCGTTGGAGTTCATCGTTGTGAGAGTAGACCACGGGTAACTGACGCTTGCTTTCCAGGATTCCGTGCGACCTCGCAAGTCCTCGTGATCGGACCTTCGTTTAGCTCGTACGAACAGTACGGTACAAGTTGTACTGTACTACATACACTGTACAGGCTTCGCTTGACACCTTACAGCAYATGAGTGCGTAGCTAGCTTACTATCATATGATGTAGAAGTACTGTACTGTAAAAGTGCATGGTACTTACTMGTGCGAGTACGTACCTTGCTACCTAGGATCGCGTAGAATACCGCATCCGGAAGGAACGAAAGATCACTGATCATTGCCAACCAAACCGAGGTTCTATCCGTTTCCTCTTCTTCCCCACCTCTCTCACTGAATACGATACCGCACGAAGCCTTTCGACTGGCGAAAACTTATTCTCTCTGACCCCATTTCTTCGATCGATCAGGCTTCAAACTGGAACTGGTGTGCGAAATGAATCAAGAAGAACCAGTAACTTTCACAGTTGTCAGGACGTCAGATGCGGCAACGAAAGAGGCAAGTTCGTAAACCGTAGCGTCACGTGTCACTGAGGCTTGTTTGTTAGCTCGATTCGCGGTGGGTGGTGTTTGGCTTTTCTGTGCGTTGATTATATGRTCTTTGCTTGTCTTGCTTCTGAGGTATGGATAAAGTTCTAATGATTTGTTTTTCCTCCATCGAAACACTCTGCTTCGGCGAACACGTGGAACGAAACGTAACGAAACAACACCAATGGATTGCAGGTGTCGATTTCGACAGCGAGCACGAAATTGAATGATTTGAAACGAATACTGGCCGACGAAGAATGTTTCGGACCCGAGGAAGCCCCTGTGAGGCGCCAGCGAATATTTCATCTAGGGAGGGAGTTTAAGAGCGGGGGACGCTCACTCAGCAACCTCGGGCTTGGGAGATTCAACAACCGCATCATTCACCTGAGCATCCGGCCGTGCGAAGAGGAGTGCGAGAGGAATGGCAACGCTTTTGGGCAGCAGCAGAGTCCTGTCGCTGCGGTCGGTGCACGGAAACGGAGGCGCACGGATGGGAATGCCGGGGGAGAGGAGGGCGTTGATGCATCATCGTTGTTGCCGTTGCCGGTATCATCGCCATTGCAATCTTCATTTTTGCCGCCGTTTCCGTTTATGAACCAAAACCAAGCATTGGGGATGAATAATGACAACGATCCTGACAATAGATTAAATAACGCAATTCATGCAAGCAATGCTTTGTGTGAGGACCGGGGAATGCCAGCGACGTATACRTATACGAATACGAATACGAATTCAAATAATAATCTCACGGCCAACAACAACTCAGCAATCGATCTAATGGACAGCAGCGACGACGAAGAAGTCGAGGTGATTGAAATTTCTTAAAGAAACCAGTCAACAATTGTCCGCACGGAAGACGACTCATTGTGCTATTATTTTTGCCGTCACCTAGTGACGAACGCGTGGTACGAGTAGCTACCTAGGGGGCGGTGGTTATGTCCACGCCATATAAATGGGTGCATGCCGACCACAGATAGCACCAAACTTTGCCACGTCTATTTTACTGCTTGTTATTGTTTGCTTCTTCTGTTCGAAGAAAAAGACGAGAAATAAGAAAGATTTGCTGCAAGTGGTGGTATCAACATGCTCGCAATTGGTAGCTCCAGTGCCGCCACTGGGTACGCGTATACTCTACCTTCCTATGTGTCGTCAGACCCTTCACCAGTCAAACAAGCATGCCATTTATCACTCAACTACTGCTGTAATTTTGTTCAGTGATCTCAACACAAATTGCAATATTTTCCTCTAATGGGAATTGTTGTTGTCCACTGCAGAAATGGTTTGCTTTGAGGTGTTTGTTTTGGTGACACCTGATGAAGCTGAGATGGCTATGAAAATTGACTACTAGAGACTAAAAGGATAGAGGATTCGTTATGCTGTTAAAATGGATTGGCTTGCAACTGCTGCAGTAAAAATAATGACAGGATACAACCTTATCCTATTTTTACATTATTYAATAGTCTACTGCTGCTGATGGTGTTCCCGTATTGGAGGAGAAAGTGAAGCTAGAACTTTTGCAAAATGGTTGGCTGCTGTTGACAGATTTGTTGTTATTTCAATGGTGTAAAGTGAACCATCTACTTCTACTTCAACTAGTTCAAATGTTATTATTGTTCCTCTGGATGAGCACTTCTCAATTTTACCACTGCTGGTACTGGCCGTTCATGATCATATTATTAGTATCAAAGTATGATATTCTTCAATGGCCATGTTCTTCTTCTTAATTGGTATTGGTTTTGCTATTGTTCTTGCTATTGCTCATGATGGTACTACGAGTTGCAGTGTTTTTTTACCAGCCTGTGGTGTTCCTCTTTTVAGATGGAAAAGTTGACAATTGAATTACAACCGAAATGCATCTAGCAGGAAGGATCTTGAAATAAAGAATAAAAATTGGTTGTAATACCGGGAAGTTGTTTACACCGCGATGCGTTTTTCCGATTCTGTTTTGGAGGMCATGGGAATCTAGGTCCTCGGTTGAATTTCAATTCGATAGTGTTACCTTTCTCAATTTTCAGTAGCGTACTACMGTACACTAAAATTRAAGTAGATTAGTGATGGCATGGTGGAGATCACGGATCGCACCTTCTCATCCATTCTCATAATTTTATCACTTCCAAGATAACCACTGCCATTACGGACGGGACGACACGCAATCCACGAGTATCATACAGCTTCTTTGTATCAACCTGAATAAGTCCATAAATCCAGAGATAGAGAGATGACTGAACAAACGTCCGGCGCCTCGCAACCTCCGGCGTTGAGTGATTTGAGTTCAGAAACGCTTCTGAGCCTGGGCGATTCGCACTTCGTTGACGAGAACTACGAAGAAGCCGCGGACGCATATGCCGCGGCMCTATCGCTTTTTCGTGAAACCGAAGTTTCTTCGCAAGTCCGGGCCCTTTCTCATCGATCATCGGCATTTTTCAAGCTCGGCCGCTACGAAGATGCCCTGGAGGACTCACAAAAAGCAYTGGAGCTGTTGTCRAACAACAAACCGTCGGGGCTGCGAATGGGGGAGGGAGAGATTTGTCACCGCCGAGCAGGCCTAGCAGCCCTAGAGTTGAAGCAGTACCAAGAGGCAAAAGAAGCCTTGCAAGCGGCCGCGAAACTTGCGTCATTGAACCAAAAGAAAACCAACAAAGAACTATACGAAGACCTGCTCCAAAGATGTGATGCGGGATTGTCTGCTTCCAAGAAGAAAACGGCGACTTCCGCAGCTCCGTTGCCAGACTTTCCAAAGAACGAAGACGWTMCAGAAGCAACTTCAATGCCATCACGGGTGAGTTCTCCGTCGAAAGCCAAAACCACTACCCGCCCAGCTTTGGCGGGAGTCAAAGGCAAGACACCAAAATACCAGTACTACCAGTCAGATAAGGTCATGACTATTTCTGTCCTCGAGGCTGGTGTAAAAGAACAAGATTTGACCGTTCGATTCCAACCCAAGCATTTGGTGGTGATCCTCCGAAAGGACAATACCGATTTCACCGTCATTGCGGGAAATTTGTATTCGGAAATTGATGTGGAGAAGTCCAAGGCTGTTTTCAAGGATGAAAAGGTCCTCGTAAAGCTTCGAAAAGTGGAACACTATGAATGGCCCGAGTTGCTTGGAAAAGGAGACGACAACAACAGTAGCAAGGCAACAAAAAAGAAGGCGTCGGAAGAAGACTCGAGCAGTGATACCGCAACCAATCCGAAAATGATCCCAAGCGTTCCCCAAGATTCGAAGAAAAATCGTCCGTACGCAAGTCACCGCGACTGGGACGCGATCGAGAAGGCTATCGAGGAAGACGAAAAGAACGAGAAACCCGAGGGCGACGAAGCTATGAACAAATTGTTCAAACAAATATATGGGAATGCCGATGAAGACACGCGTCGTGCGATGGTCAAATCTTTCCAGACTTCGGGTGGAACAGTACTGTCAACTAATTGGRATGAGGTAAAGGACAAAGATTACGAAAAGGAACGTACAGGTAAGACAATTTATCCAGCTTGATTCGACAATAACACAGCAGCCCGTGTGCTAAAATTACTCACAATATGAATGTTTCAAACGATATCTCGCACTGTACTACTTACGAAGCTCCGAAGGGTGTCGAATGGAAAACTTGGGATGGAGAAAAGGTTCCAATGAAGGAAGATGATTGAATGATTGGGCAAAGATAGAATTGCCATGAGTGAACGAGATATTGATAATACGAACTACCGTGCTGAATAGCGCCAAGAAAAATGAATWAATCTCTATTGTAATTAAAAGATTTTTTCATGCATGAAACAGAATTAGGTGCGAAATAGATTATGATTCTGATAGTTTTACTGGCTTTTCATTAGCCATTCCTGCTGTGTTGCATTATGCTCAATCAATCAATAAGGCCATTCATGGAGAGTAATGMTTCAGCGTTATTGTCTCGAATAGTATTTTTATTTGCATGCAACAACAATACAGCTGATGTCGTCAACTTTCCCTCCTAGTCCATCTCGATAGTCCYTATCGCCACGTCGCTGTGCTTGCTTTGAATASGGCGTCACAGCGGTTTTATCCAATGAGATTTTTCGTGACGCATCGCAAACCCTCTTCGCGAGTGTCGTCGCCTTTACTGAGGGAGATTTCGCAACGAGTTCCAAGAGTTGGTCATCACTCATGTTGTCAAAGACTCCGTCGGATCCCATTAGTACAATATCTCCAGGGATCAATTCAACGTTGAGCTTGGTTCCATCCTTAGGTTGATCGGGGGAGTCTTCTGATAGTTGATAGGGACATTCCCAGTAGTGAGAAATCTCTCTCGTTTTCGCCGTAACTTTGCCGTCCCGAACAACCATGCAGGCGGAATCACCGACGTTGAGTGCCTGTAGGAAGCCATCCTCTCCAATGGAAGCTACTACGGCGGTAGAAGCTCCCGTTGCCGCTCCGTCGGCATATGATGCTGCCGAAGACATGTATGCCGTCATGTCTTGCACCGTCTCTCCATTCATCCCGCACATTCTTTTCATTTCGCTCGCCAGTGTTCTGGAATAAAGAGGAACGCCATCTAACTTTTCGGCACCCGAGACACCATCAAAGACACCAAATGTTCTTCCCTTGATAAATGTGGCATCCTCTCCACCCCATCGTACCTTTGCGGGATGAGGCAGAATGTGCGACCCGATTTCTATTTTGATGGGCTTGGGAGAATCATCGATTATCTTTTCCTGAACTTCCTTTTGAGCACGATCCGTAGAACTCGTGCTGAAGAAAGGAGCCGAAAACATTCCGCTTTTCTTTTCATCTGGTTCTGCTGGCTCATCTTCGATTACCCCTGTATCTTCTACTTCGGCGGAAGCCGATCCGCCACTACCAAAAATACTACTAAAAAAGTTTTTCTCMGTTGGTTGCTCAGATTCTTCTTCTGTGATTTCCTCTACCGATGCCGTATCCTCTATCGTATCTTGATCAGCTGTGTTGCCACCAAATAAGTTTCCAAAGAAACCCCCTGAAGGTTGCTCTTCCTCCTCATCCTCGGTTTGCGAGTCATCGACAGATTCAGTTTCTTCTACGACTGCCTCTTCTTGATCCAATACGGATGTCATAGCAGAAAATAGTCCGCCCACAATGCCCTCACCTTCGTCTTCAGTTTCCATCGCCTCGATGCGTTCCTTTCTGTATTCTCTACGAAGATTATCAGCTAGTCGCTGTTTCCTTCGTGGAAGACGAACCTCAGGAAATGTCGAGGTCGGAGGCTCCCATCGACTCTCTCCTGTCGACGTATCGAAGTAATAAATAAGTCCGGTAGTATCTTCGTCCAGATAGGCCTGCCAAGTTCCCTCTTCGGCAAGYGATTCTGGAATAGTGTGCAATGTCGTCGTGGTTCTTTTACCTGCATTTAGCCCATGAATATTTAGATGTCCCTGGAAACCCGACGAGAAGGTGAAACAGCTGCTCCACACAACAGCGACCARTAGAAACTTCGATGTCGACGTCATTGGATGATGATATAAGTTTTCAATTGGAAGCCACAAGGATTGTCGTGCCGTAATTTTTACTATCAGTTTAGCAACGAGTTGATTGTGGAATATCGCTAAGATCCCTCGGATAGAATTGGCTTGGTAATCTCCGATGAGTGTTGCCAAAACACAAAATGTGTCGTASAGGAAGTCGAAAGGCAGTTTTCAACAACAGATGGTGTTAGATGGTACGAGTACGAGTACMGGGCACGGTAAGGGAAAAATTAACGGAAAAGCCTCTAGCTCCGCATTTGAAAATCGACCGATGATCAAGCAACACAATCTGTGTCGTTGCAGCTACGCGAATTAATGCGTCAATCATATTGCTTGTATCGGGTGATCGTACCGTATGCTACGGAATTCCGGAACAGCAGTGTCACCGTTTACCTGTGCGATACACGCAACGACGCGCGACGTCAGCTCCATTTTCTGACGACGATGAGGAAAAGGGGGATTAAAAACTCGATATATCTAAATTGTTGATCTCCCCTCCCTCTCTAAATCCCAGGTTCAAAGTAAAAKCTTGAAACAAAGTTCAGGGACGAAGCGTAGAAGTACTCGTACCGTAACGTTACAGATCATTGCTGGACCTATTACAGTACGAGTACGTACTTGTATTTTTCGTTGCCGTTTACGCAACAATCATCCTTTTTGATTGACAATTGCCAACTCATGCTGAAACTGTGAAAACAGGACCATGATCTTGTGAATGTTATAGCGTCGAATGATGGTTTTCAAAACGGCTGACGATCCTTGACACGGATACGAAACCCAGCGTCACTCAACTACAAGTACTTGGTGTACAAAGATTCAAACGAAACATGCCATTAAGAATTGTTTCATTTTCGAGATGTGCATCAATTTTATACGCAAGAAATACAGTTCCTTGAATGCGGTAGCGCAAATAAAAATACCACTAGATTACAATAGATTACTTGTCTTGTTTACAACAAATTCGATTGGAAATCTTGGTGCTGCTGTGTTCCAGAGGGGTTTATACCGATCCCGAATCTTCGACTTCGTTCAGATCCGCCCTTTCTGTTGCTGGGCGTTCCCCGAAAAATCTCGCTTCGCTGCTGTCGCTCGGATGATGAYGCAACCTTCTCCGCGAGATTGTTCACCAGCGACGAGACGCGGTTGGGAGATCCGGCTTCTTGAAACGAGTACATGTAGTTTTTGGCGGTGCTCGTGAAGCTGTTTCGGCTCCTGTGAGTCGATACACTCGACGTAGATGGTGGACGGGGCAGGGACCTGCTGTTTTCCTTGTAAAAACTCGATAGGCTGCTGCTGGACGAGCCTGGGAACCGGTGCCAGCAGTTGCTCTCTTCCGTTGCGGCGATGCTAATGTCTAGATCGATGCCGCCCTCGCCGTGAGCATTCGGATGATGGCCTCCCTGCGTGCCTTCGTTGTTTAGAAAATGGCCAGATTCGTACGAAAGAGCAGAGTGGAGGGACGGGGTGGCAGACGGGGGCCGCTCGTACTGGATCACAGAGCGCACGGGATCCCGCTTGGCGTCAACGTCCTTGATCGCCTTGGTCAGAATCGCTCGCTGTTCCGTCGTCAGAAAATCGTTTCGAAAGCTCAACGTCAGCGGGCGTCCTCTCGACTTGATGGCCTTGCTAATGTTTTCGAACGTCCACTTTCCCACCTCGACGGAAACCCCGTCAAAGGCGACCAGGCGGGCCCCGAGCCTGGGTCTCTGGTTTACCCCGGAATCGTCAAAGCCCTCAAAGCCGCAAACGAGAACAATGTCCTCCGGAAGGGCCAGCGGGCAGGTAACTTCCTCGCCCCTGGCGTTCGTTCCCCCACCCGCCAGCGAGGCGATCGAGGCCACGCTCCGGAGCTCGGCCGCGGTCTTGTCGCTGCCGTCGACTCCCCCGGCCAGATCGGCCGCGAGGACGTCCGTGAGCAGTCCCCGCGGTTTTTGGGGCGCCGGGGAGGCCTTTTGGAACTGCAGGCCGATTTTTCGCGAATAAAAGGTRATGTGGTGGACGCGCAATTCCTCGTTCCCCTCGCCCCTGGCCCGGCCGTTGCCACCGGACGATGAGCCCCCCATGGTGTCTACCACGTCCGCCAGGGGGCACACCAACCTGGAGGTGGCCTGCCCGTTTTCTGTGACGAGCTTCGGCGAGGAGGGTTTCCGGAAGTGCGGGTCCAGGTGCCGGATCTCTGTGGATTCGTCGTCGTGGTCGAGCTTGAGCAAGGGATTGGCTCTCTGGGAGGAACTCCCGTCGGCACCGACKGACGATGCGGACGCCGGTGTTCCCGTCGCACCGATGGACCGCGCRTGGTCCGTATCGGTCGCGGACGCCACCGATCCCAGGAGGGAGCCGAGCTCGAGCCGGGAATCGCTATCCTTCGGGTCTTCCTGCTCGGAACCGCTTTCGTCCGAGTCGGAATCGTCGTCCAGCAGCGACAGGAGTTTCGGTTGGCTCACCTCGATCCCGCCCTTTTGCAAACCCGGCCAGCCCGCAACGCTCGCAGCAAGATCCGAACCCTCCGCGGCGAACGATGTCGGATTCGTGGATATGGATTGCTCCGCATCGCGATCGAGGTCGGAACCCGCAACCAGCCGGTTGTGCAAGCGGATGCTCGATGCCACGTGCTCCTCGAGCTCGATGATGAGGCGCTCTTCATCGCTCCCGATCATCGTGTCGGCCATTGCAACGGTTCCATCTTCCTCGGAGGGTTTGTCCGAGTCGCGAGCAGACCTCGACAGGCGCTGGTTGTCGTCCTCCAGGTCTCGAACGGTGTTTTGGAGTTGCTTGACCTCGCGGACCAGGACTCGTTTCTCTCTCTTCTTTTGCTTCAGCGTCTTGCGAATGGCGCAGTTTTCTTCCCATAGATTCAGAATCTGTTTTTCCGCTTTTTTCATTCGTTTCTGGATGGCATCGACCCGTTCGTTTGCTTTCAGAACGTCTTCCACGGCGGTCGAGGCCTCGATCGACGCCAGCCTCGAGGATTCCCTCTGCTGCCGAAAGGCATTGSAGAGGCCCGAAAAATACGTGCCGGGGACGTCGATGAGCTCTTCCACGTCCATGTCTTCCTGCGCGAGGTCGTCCAGCAGGGCAGGGGCGGATTCGCGTTTCGAAGGGGGCGTGGTTACGTCCCTGGTGCCGGGGCTTCCCGGTGCCGTTTCGTCTTTGTGTTCCGTCGTTTCGTCCGTGCCGGAGGTTCCGTGCTTTGCGCCGCCAGAGTCTTCGCCGTCCCCGCCCGTTCCTTCTGTTTGGGCCGGGCTCTCGGCACCGTGTTCCCACTGTTCGTTCTCGTTCTCGTTCTCGTTCTCGTCCACGGCCTTGGGGGGTTCCTTTGCGGGAGGGGGGGACGCCGCCAGCGGCTTTCGCACACGCTGCGTCAGCAGCCGCAGGGCTTCGTCCAGGCGGTGGAACTTTTCCTTCCAGTTTCGTGCGTCCTCCAGGGCCCCGTCGCGGTCGGCCTCGATCATCCGAAAGTGCTCGAGCTGCTGCTCCAGGTCCGAAATGGTGTTGGACTGCTCCGTCTTGGCGCTCTCTAGGGCCCCCACCCTGTCTTTCAGAAAGGAGACCCGTTCCCCCCTCATGTGCCGGATCCATTCCTCCCCGATCTCTCTCGTCCTGGCTTCCAGAACGATCTTCCGGCCCCGGCGATCGCCGTGGTGGTGGTGCTCGCTGCGGTCGTTGTGGTCGTCGYAGTGGCTCCAGTCGTCGTTGTTGTTGTCGTCGTCGTCGTCGTCGTTGTTCCAGTCTCGGGCGTCCTTGGTGTCCCGCGCCCCGGCCCCCGGAGGGGGCTTCAGCGACACCGCGAACCGGAACCTCCCGTCCGGCGTGGTTTCCAGCGGCTCGACGGACGAGCCCTCCAGGTCCATTTTCCCCCTCGGTTCCGTCTCGCTGGGTGACAGGTAGTAGTACACGCTGGTCTCCGGCTTGAGGACAAAGAACCGGCGCTTGAACTCGGGAATGTTCTCCCCCAGCTTTTGCAAAAATCCCGCCCTGGCGACCCCCCCGGAGCGGGCAAAGACCGCGGCGGAGGACCCGGTCCCCCCGCCGGCCGCGGCCGGGGTGGCGTGGAGGTGGTAGCCCCCGCCGGTGGCCGCCGCCGCGTGGTGCTCCCTGAGGCCCTTGGTGGCCACCCGGAAGAGCTCCTTCACCGTGCCGCCGCTGCCGGTGTTGGTGTTTCGGCCGCCGTCCGCGGGAAGGACRCCCGGAGAGGAAAAGGCGGGCGATGGGAGGGACCCCGGCCCCCCCCTCGGCGCGGCACCGAACCGCGGACCCCGTCCGGCGGAAGCGGAGGGGTCCAGGACCAGGGGCTCCGGCCTCGCCTTTCTCGACCTCGCCTCCATCGGGTGCCCTCCCCGCCGGCCCCGCACCGTGCCGGGGGGAGACAGAAAGGGGGAATCCAGGGACACCGGGGGATGGTGCCCCCGGTGCGGGTGGGAGGGAGCGTGCTTGTGCCGGCTTCGYTGCGAGGGCGTCCGGGCGKCCCCGGGCGGGTTCCGGGCCCCCTGCCGCTGGGTGGCCAGAGCTGCTGGGACTCGCCGCGGGGTTTGGCTCGGCACGCCTCCGTCCACCTCGTGCTGCGGGCGATTCGGAAGCGCTGGTTCCGCGCTCGACGAAGACGGCATCCTTCCCGGACGTCCTCAGGGGCGGGCTCTGTGGGAAAGCACTGGGGGTCCGCGATGCGATTTACTGTGCTTCGGAACACACGGATCGAGACGAGACGGGAAGGGACGGGCCGAGACTGGCGAACAAACAATGGAACGTCGTAGTGTTATGACAGAGCAGGCGGTTCCATGACAGTATCGTATCGTGATTGTCACTGATGATTGTTACAGTACCGTAAAACTTGAGTTGCGATGGGGACTTTTCCAYAACAGCACCAAACAGGTTTACTAATTAATTGTTCAGACCGGAGGAAGTTAGCCAAGGTTAGCTTCACCATATCGGGTAGGTTACGAGTACGACTTACCGTACATACCGTACCGACGAGCTCGTCACCGAAGGAAAAGAAGTGTCGCGACCAATACAGTACGGTAGTAGGAAAGTAGKTACTATGTACGTACTGGCTTACCGTACTAATCTCATGTTTGAAAAAACCTTCCTTGGCGGCATTTTTTTAAAACGGGATCGAAGGAGTTCAGATCGTGCCTTCCCTCTCTCGCTCTCCGAGATTCCCTGCCGCGCGCCGATACGCCCACACACACACAGAAAACCCAGCCCCGCCCCGCACCGAAACCGAGACCACAGGGTTGTCCATCGCACAACACAACTTTTAACCCCATTCCTAATGGATTTGCTGCATCCACACGTTTGCCGCTATCGAAGGGAGCGGGGCGCGCTTGCAAGTTGTTGAATGTGTTCAATTGTCCGTGCGTACGGTAAAGTACTTGTACGAGTTACTCGTACCGGTAGGAGGACGAAACGCGGCAGGTTTGTGTTGAACCGTTCCGGGCCGCAGCAACGAACCGGACTCCGGAAGGTATCGATGAAAATGCTATCGAMCTACGGTATACTGTAGCTTGGATACCAATACACCCCAACGAAGATACTCTCGACACGGACAGCAGCAGAAGCAGAAGCAGCAGCAGTAGCAGTAGCAGCGGATTCCGTCGTTGCCGAAAATCAGAAARAGCGCAACCCATCGAACGATCGTCGAGGTGAGTACGCAATCGTGCCTTGCGCATTCGCGGGTCGAACAACCACGGTTTGTACGGGAACAAGGCTCTTTTCAGCCGGTGCACCGCGTTGCCTTTGTCTCGGCAGGCAGCGCACGGGACCCGTCCCCCCGCCACGCCGCATCCTTCCACAAAACCACTCATCCGCCTTGTTTCTCTCATTGCCCCAACAAGAAAGCAAAACGCAACACAACACAACACAACACAACACAACACACTGCACGAACCAGAACCGCAACCATGAACCCCTCAGCGAGCGAATGGAAGCCCTCCGCGTCGGCGGCATCGTGGACGCCYGGGCAGTCGTTCTCGATACCGGCTCCCGCACCGGCGCCCGCCCCTACCCCGCCACCCCCCAAGGAGCAGGAGACCGGCGAGGACATCGACGAGACCGATCCCCTGTGGCAGGCCGTCCTGAAGATTTCCGGCGGGGACAAGGCCGCGGCCCAGAAACTCATCAACGACCCGGACAGCCTGACCAAGTATCCGGAAGTCGTGGCCCTCCTGGGAGAGGGCGGCGGCGACGGCGACGCGATGGAGGTCGACGACACGGAGGACGCCCAGCTCGCGGAAGCCGTCGAGACCAAGATGCAGATCGACAAGCCGGCGCCACCACCGGCACCCGCCCCGAAAAAACCGGCCGCCAAGGCCGCGCCCGAAAAGGCCGAGGAAGTGGTAGAGGTCGAGCCCGTGAAGGAGGGAGACCCCCGTGAGCACCTGAACCTGGTCTTCATCGGCCACGTCGACGCCGGAAAATCGACCCTTTCCGGCAGCATTCTCTACATTACGGAAAACGTCGACAAGAGAACCATCGAGCGCTACGAACGGGAGGCCAAGGAGCTGAACCGCGAGTCCTGGTTTCTGGCCTTTATCATGGACACCAACGAAGAAGAACGCGCCAAGGGAAAAACAGTAGAGGTCGGAAAGGCACACTTCGAAACCGACGTGAAGCGATACACGATCCTGGATGCCCCGGGGCACAAAAACTACGTCCCGAACATGATCATGGGTGCGAGCCAGGCCGACATTGGKGTGCTGGTGATTTCCGCCCGAAAGGGTGAATTCGAGACGGGCTTTGACCGCGGAGGACAGACCCGGGAGCACGCCATGCTCGCCAAGACCCTCGGGGTGAGCTATCTGGTGGTGGTCATCAACAAGATGGACGACCCCACCGTCCAGTGGGCGAAGGAGCGCTACGACGAGTGCGTGCAAAAGATCCGGCCGTTCTTAAAGGGATGCGGATTTGTGATAAAACGAGAGGTCAAATTCATCCCCATATCGGGACTGAAGGGAGCGAACGTCAAGGACGAGGTCGACCCATCGGTGTGCCCGTGGTGGAAAAACTGTTGGCAGAGCGGCGAGAACAACACGAAGGTATCGACGCTCATTGGATTGCTCGACTCTCTGGAAATATCCGGGCGCGACTCGACGGCTCCCCTCCGGGTCCCTATTCTGGATCGGTATACCGACCGCGGTACCATTGCCATGGGCAAGGTGGAGAGCGGGGTCATCCGTCCCGGAATCAAGGTCACGCTTATGCCCACGCGGGCGCAATTCAAGGTCGATTCGGTCTGGGCCAACGAGGACCCCGTCGCCGCTGCCCGTCCCGGTGAGAACATTCTCGTCAAGCTCAGTGGAGCCTCGACCGACGACGTGCGCAAGGGGTTCGTCATGTGTACGGAACCCGCCTGCAGATCGGTGGACAAGATCATTTGCCAGATTTACGTCGCCGAGATGCCCGACAACACGAAAATCATGACCGCGGGTTTCCAGGCTATGTTTCACGCTCACGTGTGCGAGGAAGAATGTTCGATTGCCAAGATATTTGAAACCACAAATGCGAAGGGCAAGGTAGTGAAGGGGGCGCGCTTTGCCAGCGTCGGCATGACGTGCATTTGCATGATCAGTTTGGCACAGACCGTACCTGTCGAGACATACGGCGATTACCCCTTCCTGGGACGGTTCACTCTTCGTACCGAAGGAAAGACCATAGCGATCGGAAAGATCCAAAAGCTCCCCCCAAAGAAATCTTAATTTACCGAGTGGAAGCCGGTAATCGAACCTACCTACTTCTCATAACAACAAACAAATATTCATCAACTCTGTCTCTTCTGTAGTGGTACTTACGATACGACTGCTACCAATAAGCATTGATGAACTCACATTCCTTTGCCATCGATGAGGGCGTTTGCAATTTGCGTGCCCGATGAATTTTGAATGCATCCTCTGATCATGGAGTTTGTTTCCTTTCACACATGTGGTTTTCCAACTTTCATCTTTCAGTAATGGCTCGTCGTCTGCACTCCACCTTCCGCAATACGAAATAAAAATCGACGAGATTGGCAGATATGCGACCGTGCCATAACTGTTGTGGGTACGGCCAGCTATCCCCCTTTTGGTGTGCACCAACGGCCGCAATGAAAAACAAGAAACTACTTTAATCTGACGCAATTAATACAATCAGAACTATATTGTTCAATAAACTTTATGTCAATTCATTATCTTTTATGGCTAGTCATTTACTTTTTAAACGGACAGGTTTTCTTGCATTTCTTTAGCCCACAACCTTGGCATTTCCCACCCTGTGCCTTTGTACTAAGTCTTGCAGCTTCCTTTTTCTTATTTGCCTCCTCCTTTTCTTTTTTGGCCTTCTCTTCTGCCATTTTGTTCAGTTGACGTTGCGCATCCATTGCTTCCTTATATTTTCGCTTTTCTTCTTCCTCTTTCTTCCTAAACGCTTCTTCTTTTGCCTTCTCGGCGTCTCGTTCCTGTCGAATTCGTTCCTGTTCAGCTTCTACCGCTGCTTTTTCTTCTTCTAACCGTGCCGCTTCTGCTGCGCCGTCCTCGTCGCCCTGTTTGTAGGAATCACCGAGGGCCTTGGTTAGACTTGCAAGAGCCTTTAGCGCCTCGTCACGAATTTCTTCAAATTGAACGCTACTGGCTACCTTTTTGAGTTCAGGGACCAAGAGACCTCCAAATGGAGCAACATCCTCAGGAGAACCAACCAGCTTGCTCATGTTATTTATCACAATACAAGCAGCGCGCTTATGAATTGCTAATTTCTCCTTCAAGGCACGGGACAACACAGGACAAAGCATTGACAAAGTAGGGGCATCCACTGTTACAACAAAGGTAGTCGACATCAGCTCCGATACAGCCTTGTTTGTCTCCGAAGGTTTGCATACAGCTTTGACAACAGCTGGGATCGCTGGTTTCACATCGGGGTTGGGGTTGGTTTTACAAATTGCCATCAAGCACGATCCTGCGGCTTTGTTCACCTGAGCTTTTGTGTCCCAAACTTGTCCCGTGACACCAGGAATCAGGGCCGGTAGAGCGCTACAAACCTGTTTCGGAGCGGTTTCGGCGCACTGTGCAAGACGATCCAACGCATTCACTTTGACTCTCCATTCAGATGATTTCATCGCTTTTAGCAACAGCGGTGAAAGTAGGCTGGTGAAAACGAACGGATTTGAAAGTTTAACGAGTGCTGTCGCGGTATCTTCTGCTGCCTCTCTGACCGAGTTTGAATTACTACCGCATTCGTCGAGAGCTGCTGCAATGAAAGCCCCAACAACATATGGCTCGGCAGGTTTTCCTATGATCTCACAAAAAGCTCTTATAATCAAGAGGGATCCTTCTCTAGCGTTTGCAGGAGTTGATTTCCCCCTATTCGAGTCTGTTCCAGTGGTTCTTTCGGTAAAAGCAGTCATCTCATCCGTACCACAGCTCCCCATGCTTGCAAGACTAACAGCTGAAATACTAGGTTTCAACCCTCCGACGCTTGCATCGTCGTTTCCAAACGTTTTGGTTATTCCCTCGGGGAACAGCATTCTTTGCATTTCATCCATTACTTCACATTCTTTCAGAACGAATTTGATGCCCAGCTCTTTCGCTGCAGTTGCAAGGTCTGCCGCTGCTCCGATCCGGTCTCTAGTTGTACTGGCAGCATGAGGTTTGCTTCTATCAATCAAAATCTGTTCCCCCATGGCAAGTCTGCACATATTCGTCACTTGAATTCTTTGTTCAGCCTGATCCAAACCATTGAGTTCCTCAATTTTCGCAGGTGTTGCGAGCGTAGCGGGCTTCATTAAAGGGGCGATAGATCCACGTTTTGAAACCGCTTTTTTGGCACCTGCCTTAGACCTGCCCGCCACTACCTTCTTTGTAGAAGGGACTCTCACCTTGTGTTTCGTGTTTGCAGTGATTGATGCCATACTTGAGTTATTGTGAATTGGTACGGTATGAGAAGTCGAAGAAAGCAAAACAATGGAAGTCGTCGGTTGTCGTGTTCACACAAGGAACTAACGAGATGCAATGCAAGGCATCGTACTCGGAAGAGACTCCACCTTTACTCCATTCTGATACGGTAGCGGGAATCGCGTGTTATCTTAAAAAATCGAAAGCGAAAAGCAATGCACGACGTCTTGAATACATAAATTTGAAGTAGAATTCTTACCGCATACGTCAATTGAATTCTAATTTTACGAATMTCTCGTCCCAATACGGATTCGATGGCTGAGGGTAGAGTTGAAAAATGACTGTTACGATTAGTTCAAGTGCGCACGTCTGGGATAATACTGGGACGTAATGAAACGACGTATTGGGCGATTCCCGTTAATCTAGATGGTCTAAAAATCTAAAGTAGAYCTTTTCGACTTTTTAGTTTAACGGGAATCATTAAAAACAGGGGCCCAACGGACATTTTTAAGCGCTAGTTCTGTTCTTAAAGGAATTTGGAATCTCGACATCTTTGTTTCTGTGTTTATGTCTTCTTCCTTCCATGGTGCTGGCGCTTTCTGATTAAGAGAAGGTTTAGTTACGTAGTAAAAAAATTTAAGTCTTAAATTTTAAATTTGGCACCCAACGAATTTTTATTGGATAATAATGAGTCATGCGACGGATTTTCATTCTTGGATTCCAGTCTAGATTTAGACTTTCTGTCAAGCCAGGCTCCTGCATTGACAGAAAGTCTAAAAATTTGGACTAGAAAGTCTATTTTTGGTCTGTCTGTCTGTCAAAAAGTAGACCATCTAGATTAACGGGAATCGCCCATTACCAGTTACTCCAAGCTACTGCATGCACCCACGACTCGTGAGACTAGTACTGTACTAGAGTACCGTAGAAGGAGCAATACACTCACAGCAATATAACAACTTGCCATCATGAAGCTCTTTGAAGGAGCCTTCCTTCTAGCTGCTCTTCTGCTTCYAACCCTTTGAGTGGCCTGATTGTATTGCCTTAGTCTACTAGTAGTAGTACTATCACAATTAGTATGCCTCCTCAGCACCAGGATCCTCATACTTCTTGATCATCTGCAATAGCAGCCTCGTCTACTGACAAAACTTACAATAGGTCATCATTTTGGTCAACTTCCACTCATCACCAAGGCTTCCATCAGTGCACGACTCCCTTTAGATGTTATAAGCTGTGACAATTGCTGATGCTTTAGCATGGGTAATTGCAGGATGGTAATACTTCCACAGCTTGTTGTCCAATTTCACATCAYGATAGCTGTAGAGATGAACCTCACTAGATTCATTTATTTTGATGCCCCAACACCTCTTCTCGTTTCCTCTTCCCCTATCCTTTTGATGGATGTAAAGAGCAGATGATAAAATTGAATTCACTGACATCAGGTTGCAAGCTCCTGTGCTCTGAAAAGAACTGTGAACTCTCCTGTAGTAAGCTTTTGTTCCTTAAGAATCACCAGGGCCTGCTTCCACAGTCTTCACTGCAGTTATAGGCATTGCAAGACTTGATCCTTTTCTCTGTGCTTCTCATTGGAATCCCCTGCAGCATTCCAATCCTTTCTCACCTACTAGAAGCATCTGAATTGTAACCTGACAGGTGCTGGCTGTCATCAAGAACCTCCTCACCACTTCTTCAAATATCATCCTTGTCCTCAAACAAATTTCCACATCTGATTCTAATTCAAAGGCTGCTTCAGAGGCTGCTGATTGGGACTCTTCCACAAAGGCACTTTCCAGTTGTGTTGTTGGTGGTGTCATTGCTGTGGATGTTGTCCTTGTTCTTGTCATACAATGGTTCATGATCTTATTGAATGGCATTAGTATCAATAGTATTGGTGATAGTGTGGTTGCTGTCCTTGTTCTTGTCATACAATGGTTCATGATCTTATTGAATGGCATTAGTATCAATAGTATTGGTGATAGTGTGGTTGCTGATAGTGCTGCTGATAAAGAAGGGTGGGGAATAGTGTTGATAGCTGGTGTCAATAGTTACCATTGTTGCTGACTGGTGTTGCTGATTAGTATTGCAGAAAGGTTGCTGCTAATTGGCGTTGCTGATTAGGAGGGGGGAACTGGCGTTGTTGTCAATTTTTTGTCCTCCTTCATAGCTGATGTCAATACCTGGCATTGATAGCTGGCATCAAATTTTTGATACTGTTGTAGATACTAGGAGTGTTGCTGATAGTGTTGATGAGGGGGGGGGGGGGTAATGTTGGTGCAGCATGGATGATCAGATGTAATGATTCAGGTAAATTTAACAAATTCAAGACTGATGAAGGCGTGCTCAATGTATTTTACAGGGGAAAAAGATAACCAAGAATCAATGGCTGTATCATACATTTGGTTGCCCGTGCTATGATATGTTGTAGGGGGAAAGAAGATTTTTTCTTGGGACTATTTCCTCCCCATTAGCAGTACACCAGATACCAAAGATATATATTTATTACTACTAATAAAATAATACAATTTCTCCTTTTCATTTGTACTAAAATCTAACTACCATAGTAGGCTTTGCAGCTTGGAGGAAGTCAAAATGGTCACACATAGTTTCAGCCTGTAAAAAAGAAGGTCATTACTACTCGTCAAATGCAAAGAAGAAATGATCATTCATCTACCTGGTTATTTGTAGAAGTTTTCTGAATTAGAAGAAATAATTTTAGGGGAAGGCTGTTGTGACATACTAGTATGGTGAATATGCTAGTTTGTCCCCTAGTAGAAGAAAAGAGAGGGGAATACCATCAGTACAGACATTGTTTCATTGGTTGGACATAGAAGCACCATCCCTTCATGTCTTCATGAAGATAACTGGGCCACTTATGGGCTCCCTGGTGCTCTGGCAACAATGCCCTTTAAAGATCAAAAGGGTTGGTGCTGACACCTGGATCAAGACTCTGAAAGACACCAGCAGTACTAGTATCTTCCTGAAGTGCTTTTTGGAATGCTTCAAAATAAGCATTGAGTGAGTTGTAAGTCTCAAGGTTTGATAATAGTTGCAACCATTGCCACAACCAATGCATTGAGAACTTGGTCCATAGAGGCACTGTAGACGTCACTTGTCATTCTTCAATGGACCAATTTTTGACAAAAATTGAAAGGTGGTGCATGCTACCAAATGATTGAACACCAGCTATTGTCTTTGGTCCAAAAATCCACAGGAACACGAGCTGTTGTCTTGGTCCAAACTTCACAGTAGATACTAAGATTATTTGAGTTCAAGAAGCACCTTACCAATTTTCTACCATCCTTGCACATAAATCCTGAAACAAGTGCTACCTGGTTCTTGTTGTCAGAGAAACCCCAATCTAGGAGTTTCCAAAGGTGTTTGCTATACCCAGCAGTGATTAGCTATGGTGCAGGGAGGTGATTTTTTGATATCCACTTGCAAAGTTGCTTCTTTTGATAACAAGATGTCACTGAGACCACAACTAAGGGTCTAAAATTATGGTAACAACTGTTTTCCAAATGTTTCAGTGTAAATTTCTCAGCATGACATTGTATCAAATTCTTTGAAACAAGTTTCATAAGTCAGTGATACAGCACCATAACAACTGTCTTTCTGGAAACATATTCCTCTACAGCCATATTTGAATGAACCAAATGGTGGTGGGAGTTGTCTCAAACTGACACTAATGGACAAATTGTCCACCACCTTTGCACAGAGATTGCTACTACTGCAATTGTCAAGCCAGCCTGCTGTCCAACTGATTTTTTCAACTGGTCAAAGTGAAAACACAAATTTGGCTGAATTGGTCTGTATTATGGACAGCAATCATAGTTGTACTGCCTGTACTGGTTTCCAGCAGCAGCAGCAGTAGCAGCAACAGCAGTATTTTCTGTACTAATATTGCTAGTATTGCTCTCCTGCTCAGTACTATTACCACTAGTATTAGTACTACTAGTACTATTGTGATACTGGTGGGCTACTATTAGTAGATTGTAGCACTGCTGGTAGTGCAGCCATTGTTGCATTTGACTTCTTTATTTTGTCATATTATAGCATCTTGCTACCATTAGTAGAACTAGTAGTAATACTACCATTTGAAAGTACTTTTGGTACTACTACTAGTAATATTACTACTACTAGTACTAGCTAAAAATACTAATAGTACTATTAGTAGTGAGTATAGTACTGATATCATCAGCATTACTAATCATTGTGCAGTGGGCTACTGAGGAAACTTCTCCAAAAAGTAACACCAAGAAAGTCATATGACTACAACCCACCAGATCATACTCTGGAATCTTTGTTTGTATCTCCCTTTAGAATCTACAAAATCTGTGGGTTAGAATAGTACTAGTACTAGTATTTATTGTATTAGCTATTAAAGAGCTTCAATGTCTTTGGAAATCCTACAAATAACCCACAAAATATCAAACAGCAGATCTGTTGGGCCTTTCTTGAAACCCCAAAGAACAATTCATAACTTAACACATCTGATTCTCATTTGGAAAAGTAACTTTACTACTAGTACTACTAGTAACAATAGCACTTCTTCTTCTTCTTCTTAAAATCATTTCTTGTTCTCTCTTGGCTGACATGACTCATATTCCATTATGGGTTATTTGGGTTAGTATTTTATAGATTCATGGATAGTATTTTGTGGGTTGTTTTTTTTATGTACAAATAACCAATACTTTTACCTTTCTACTGCTAGGGGAAAGGAGATTCAAAAGGGGATACACACCACTTGTGGGAGGTTTTAGAGGACTTTGGTAGTAGTAGAAGTACTACACTACTAGTAGTAACAGGTAGGGGGGAATTCCTCAATCATGTTTCATTCCAGATTCTTGGAAGAATATACTGGTGCTTGATGGCACCCAGCACACTCCTCCTTGCTAGCACTAACAGAGCTCATCCTACTTGTAGTGATGCTAGTATTCCTGTGATGTACTAATAGGAGTACTACTAGTAATAGAAGTACTAGTACTACTAGGAGCACCAGCACTACTAGTAGCAGGAGTACCACTAGGAGTGGTTCCTAAAATACTTTTACCCTGGTTGCTGGGGTTGATATTATTGTCTTTGTTTCTCTTTACCAAAACAGAAAGAAACAAAGAGAACATTATCTGGGAAATTTTCTACTAGTATGCTGTGTTTCTCTTTGTTTGAAGAAGGAGAATGCCCCCATCATTTCATGGCGTAAAAACAAAGAGAATAGTGCCTGAGTTATGTTCTCTATGTTCAATCAACAAAGAGAAGAAACAACAAGAATATTGCCACCAGGCAATACCTGTATTCCTTTCTTCTGTGTTTCTCCTTATTTAAACGAAGGGAAACAAAGACGAGAAAAAAGGTGAGCCTCCTCTTTGTTGCAACAAGGAGAAACAATGCAAATATTTCCTATTGAAATACAGCAAAAAGAAACAAAAATTCTCTTTGTTTCTCCTTGTTTTGTAGGGTGCTGGTGGACTGTAGTACTACACAAGGARGAAACTATCATTTGATTTGTTGAAACAAATTATGTTTCCCATGAAACAACCCATGTTTTTGCAACAACCCATGAACCTGCATTGAGGGTTAACTCACAAATATTCTGGGTCTATCTCCAAACAAAAAGAATGAGCTCTTAATGTGAATGATTTCAATACTCCTTGCTGACATCCTTGTTCTTGGTTCTTGTTGTTCTTGTTCTTGTTCTTGTTGCTGGTGGTGGTGCTTCGTCTCGTCCTCCTCCTCTAACCCAGAGGATGGCAGTTATTTATGGCTTTATCCAAAACATGGGTTATTCCTGGGTTCCTGGTGGGTTGTTTTGTGAGTTATTTTTACCTAAAGACACCTTCTAAAACTTGAGTTACTTTTCACCAGAAGCAACTCATGTGTCAAATAGTAACAATAACACAAGTTATTTTTCACAAAAAAAAGACTCTTGTTTCTACTAGGGGAGAATTCGAAAGTGAGATACGCGCATGGGTTCCGGAGGGCGCAGACAGTTTTTGGTTTTGTTCGTCAATTTCGTCGAAGTTAGTCCCGCGTGCTTTCGACAGCACTGTCATCGTTCAACATAGGTTGAACAAGTGTGATTGGTCAATCATGACATCATCATGCTGACAGCGGTTCTCTCATTCGTTAGATCACTGTTCCTTGGAACGGAAATATGTTGGTGTTTTGAGATCACAACTTGTTCATTTTGATTTTGATGGATGACGAACAAAGAAAGAAGAGACGCACTTCAACACAGATGTTTTAGGTGGGGGAACTTGTAGAGGTGAGTAAAATTTGTTGCGAAAAGCGCAGAATGGAACAGTCGAAATCCCTCTAGACGATTATTTTATCAAAACAAATCAACTCAAACCTCAACTTGACGGCTGATCATTGAAATTGGAATTGAATAATAAAATCTTGTCTATTACAAGACAATGGTTAGACACCTTGGCGATACTTATGGGGTGCTTAAAGTGGCGACATTAATTGTTTGCTGCTTTCAAGAATCCTCCTCCTTCAACCTTCACAACAATCGTTTGACTCACTGCCATAGCACTGTAACAAATATCAATCAAAATCCTTCGACTGAACTTTCAAATCCCATTCGACAACAACGTTTGTTGGCGACCTCGTCGGGTGTTGGAAATAATTTCGAAGAAGCGTTGCAACATTCACAAAACCATGCGTCGTCCTTGAATGCAGCAGGAGGAGCAACATGGGACGATGTACTTATCCCGTCATTAGAGCTTCCAGTCAACGACCATACAAAAATAACAGCTATGGATAAACTCGGAATAGCTATTTTCGGAGGGTGCTCAATTGGCGTATTCTTGTCAATTGTCTCGAAGTCTGCTGGATCATGGAGATTTTTCTTGGCTGGAGGACTATGCGCAGCAATTTCTCATACGATTCCTACACCAGTTGATGTCATCAAGGTGAGATACAGCGGAAGGTTTTTACCTTGTAATAGAAGATGGTACTTCATATTTTGTCTCACTCGGCATTCTGACGACTTTGACTGCTGGCGACAATTTGGTCCAGACTCGCAAACAAGTAGATACTAGATTTGTAGATAAGTCTTTTGTCGAGGCCGGTCGCGTAATTTTGAAAGAAGATGGGTTCAGCGCTCTTTGGGCTGGGTTGGGACCAACGACCTTTGGCTATTTGTTAGAGGGAGCCGTCAAATTCGGGGTTTATGAGGTACTAAAGCCAGCCATCAAGTCGTGGCTTTCTGTTATAGCTTCGATGTCGTCTTTTTCTTTTTTGAATTCGCATTTCTTTTCCTTTGTCTTGAGTGGAATTGCATCGGGCCTTGCAGCTTCGTTCATTTTATGCCCTATGGAAGTGATAAGAATACGGTTGGTGGCGGAACCAAATTATACATCTGGTAACTGGATACGGGGAGGCTATAAAATATTGAAGAAGGAAGGTGTGCAAGGATTTAGCAAAGGATTGAACCCCATGATATTGAAGCAGGTTCCGTACACTGTAACAAAAAATGTTTCGTTCGATGTTTTCACGAAATTTTTCTACTCCTGTCTCAGAAACAGTGGAGTTGCGACAGTATCGCATGCAATGAAATTTACGATTCCCTTGGTGTCCGCTGCGATTGCTAGTGTTTTATCATCTTTAACGAGTCAGCCTGGCGACACCATTCTAAGTCTATCTTGTGCTCATGGTGGTGATTACAGAACACGTGATATAAGCCGGAATATCTTGCGCAGTGACCGTGGCATCGCGGGTTTCTTCGTTGGCACAAGAACGAGACTCCTCCATGTCGGAATGATTGTCACGATCCAGCTCTTGATTTATGATTATGTAAAGAGGATATGTGGGATAGGTGCAACAGGTTTGGCATAAATCGAGAACTATGTACACTCTCCATTCATCTTCACTTTTTAAATTTGTTCGCACAGATTTACTCTAACCTTCAATTTCGACTTTAAAAATATCAGCAAGTCTACCGATAGGAATGGTCAATTAGTAGGACTAGTCATAAAAATGCCGTATGGATACATCCCAGATTTAATTCAAGCGTGATGTGTCGCTGATTTTGGTCTATCTGCCGATTTCCATCATACTGTTTCTTGCAATTTAAGTTGAGCTGGAAGCATCCTTCCATTTTCGTATATTTTGTCGAACTCCTTCAATCCAGATTTTCTTCGCTTGTTTATGATCTTCGCGTTTGATCCAATGCTTTAACTGGAGAAACAAAAACTTCGAATTTTTTTCCGCCCAATGCTTTCTTAAGGCTCTTGCGCTATCAACCCCAGCATCAGATAATACTGAAACCAACATGCTGACTTTCGATGACGGGGTTCTTTGGGTAATCAGTGATGGACTATCGTTCATAAATTGCTGTAAATCACTGAACTCAGGAATAATTTTTCCTTCCCAAAGAAATCTTGCAAACCAACGAAATGAGTCATCTCGAAGAAAATCACCAGTTTCTTTTCTGTTGGAGTTTAGGACGTCATACATGCCTACTTTGGTTGGAGAGATTTCCCATCCTTTAGCGCCATATTTCGTTGTCACTGAGCAAAGAATTTCGTCCTGCTCATCGTCATAAATTGGTGGTGGCGACGGAAGCGGGGACCCGAGCGCAATCATCTGGGTTCCCTTAGATATTTCTCCCAACCACGTTGGATCGATCGGGGTTATATTCTTCATRACATTCAGTGGAGTCCCATCCTTAGCCGTTTTGCGAACAATCGAATCATAGCAAACCCATCGAGGCAATTGCCTGTAGTCTCTTGTGTACACGAAACTTGCCTTGTCAAGAAATAATGGAGTACTTATCGAAGATGAAGAGTCGATATAAGCCGATCGTAGGTCGATCGGATATTCTCCAGAAATAGATCCAGGAGTAGCCAACAGCGCGACATTGTCTAATAGACCTGATGCGATCGCCTGAACTAATAGCATTTCTTCGATCTTCTTCGGGGGTGCCATTTTGCACGAAAATCCACCTGTCTTCGAAGCTAGGGCATTCGCAGTGCCCAACCTATTTTTTGCGATCATAGCTAGATGACTGCGCATCTTTTGGATTCGACACATAATTGGATAACTCAATCCATTCTCCTCACAAAACTTGCTATTCGCTAACTTTTCGGAAGCTCCACCTGCTCCTCTACCAGCATATGTATATGCACCGACAGCTAACATTGCGGCCAAAACGTCTCCACCGTGGTTGTACCATTGTCTAAGATTTCTTTTGAATTTCTTTTCTCGTTCCTCGACCAGTTTTTTATCAACTTCATCAAGGTCGTCATCGGATTCTTCATTATCATGCTCACTTGAAACCTTTAAAACATGATTCGAGAATGGACTTGCTTCTGATAAAATTGCAACGATCACAATTGCATAATCTAAAACACCAGCTTGTGCTGCCACCAAGAGCATTTTTGCATAACGCACACCCAGCGGAAGTTTGGCGACAGCTTTGCCAAGTCGTGTTACCTCGCCGTCTCCGCCATCACGCTCAATGTTCGAGATATCAACACATCCTATATTAGCCAGAAGTTTGACTGCCGCTTGGATTTGGGTATTATCGGGTGCTAAAACAAAGAAAGAAGTGTGAGCAATATGTATTTTCCGCTAAACGGGACTCCTAGGGTTTGCAAACTTACGTGTAGGAAAGGGAAAGTTTGCTACATTTGATATTTTCATTGCTTTCATGGCGAGGACAATGTCTTCTAACGGACGAGTCAGAACTTCGGGCAATGCAAAATCATCCATATGTCGAGAATATAACGAGCTAGAGTATAGGCGATAGCAATGGCCCGGCCCAGTACGACCGGCGCGTCCAGCTCTTTGGTCAGCAGAAGCTTTGCTGATCCACATGATATCATACGAGGCAACTCCAGTTCCCGAATTATAATTTCGACATTTCTGACGCCCAGCATCAACGACGTAGGAAATACCAGGAATTGTGATAGAAGTTTCTGCAATGTTCGTCGCAAGAACGATCAACCGATGTGTGTCGGGAGTCGGAGCAAAAACTTTAGCTTGATCTTCCGCCGAAAGTAAAGAGTAGAGAGGAAGAACACATGCTTCTTTCGGAATGTTATCATCTTCGTAGCTCGGAATCATATTTGAGTCATCGTCAAAATCGTCATCAATATCATTGTAGTCATCAACATTTTCGGTCTCACCATCTAATTCTTCGTCGTCCATTTCTCTTGGAGCATCGATCGCACTTTCTTCCGACTGCAGAGCCCCCACGTCTTCTAATGCTTTGAATTTTTTGTGATTACCATTGTCAGTGAGAGAACGCCTTAGTCGATTGACCATGCGAATGATTTCAGCTTTTCCGGTGAGAAAGACTAGTATGCCACCAGGAGGTAACTTCCGGTGAATTTTACAGATTTTCTTGAAAGCGACATCTTCATAATTTTCAAGCTCCGTGACTTTGCTGTGATGAATGGTTACAGGATGTGTCCTTCCTGGGACCGTTACAACCGTCGGTGTACCAGACGGGAACAGTTTTTCGTTCTTCGTAAAATCCTCGACTCTAAGTGTAGCACTCATCAGTACAAGTTTTAAAGGAGGGATAGTTGGATCTTCTTCGGCAGCTTTCTTTCGAAGGGGCAAGGCCACACTGAGCAAACCAATCAAAACATCTGTATTCAGATTCCTTTCGTGACTTTCATCGAGTACGATCACACTATACCTCCGTAAAAGCAAATCGGTCTGAATTTCACTCAACAAAATTCCATCAGTCATGAATTGTATACGAGTTGAATCTCCGCAGCCAGCACTCTCGTATCTCGTTTTATATGCAACGAGGTTTCCTTTTCGTCCTGACCCCATAATTGATTGTCCATCGCCTTGACCTAACTCATAGCATAGTCGTTTCGCTGTGGATACAGCCGCTACACGACGAGGTTGAGTGACCCCAACCAAAAAGGATTTGTCGGAATCACCAGGAGAGAGACACATACCCCCTTCATAAAGAAAACCTGGAATCTGCGTCGATTTTCCACTTCCAGTCTCACCACAAATTATTGTTACATCGTTGTTACGGATCGCATCCATGATTTCAAATTCCATCGCTGTCACAGGCAAATCGTAACGATTCTTTTCAACTTCAGCCGGCCGTTTAACTTCTAGCACTTCTCTTTTTAGTTTATATTGTCCAGTGGACTTGAGTCCCAATGTTGCTGCTGTTTTAAGAACTGTGGGATTCGTTGGGACGTATTTCTTTGTCGGTGCTGCATTTGGATATGTTACGTCTGGTCGTATTTGTTCGGATTCTTGTTCGGGTTGTTTTTCTTTGGCTCTCTCCTTTATTTGTGATAGCGATGCCATCATTTGCGCTGCGAAATCTGCGCCAGCTGAAGGCATTGCTTTACTGGTGTCTGATTTCTTTCCTCCATCACTGTTACTATTTCTCTTTGAACCTGATATATCCTTGGCATCTCGTTCCACATCCTCTGTAGATCTTTTTTCTGAGCGGGATTTATTTTTCCTTCCCCCGGTATTCTTCGCGTATTTACTCTCCATGGGAACCTCGCTAGAGTTTGATTTCATAAACATACTTGCGTTATTTGAGTGTAACGACATCGAAGGTTCGTCGTTAGCAGCTACTGTACGTTCCGGGTACAGCAATTCTTCTTCCTCCTTAGTGATTGATAATCCAGCGCGCTCCTTATTAAATATCTTTTTCACGGCCTGTTTCTTCGTATCTGTTTCCTTTCTCGATAGCTTTCCAGATGCCAATAGAAGTGGCTGAAGGGCAGCTTGGGATTCTTGGTCTTCCTTCAACTTTTTGTATAGTTCGGCACGTTTCTTTTTCTGTGCAGCTCGAGTCTCGAGTTGCTGTAATTTTCTGGCCGTCTTTTTTTGGAGAGCTCTTGCTTCCTTGATTTCTTGGGGTGTCAATTGTACAGCACTTTTCTTCTCCTTTTTCTTCTTCTTCTTTGGAATGACTATCAAAGGATTGTCGTCATCGCCAAATTCACCGTGACCTTGTTCCGCCAGAAATTCCTTCGACAGCATCGAGGTGTCTTCATTTTTCGCCTTTTCATCGTTCACTCTGCGCTTCCGCTTCTTATTTTCTCCATCTTCTTGCGTTGAGGAAGAACTGTTCACGTCTTTCAAATGTCGTTCAGAAGTCCTCAAAATTGATCGTAACCGCTGCATTTCTTTTTCTTCGTCCAATCCATCATATTGCGTCATGCGGCGCTGCGATATTTTTCTGTAATTCCGAGCATACTTCGCAGGATCGCTCTTTGATCGTCTCATCTTCGAATTCTTCTGTTGTTCGGCGAAACTTTAAGTAGATTGCTACAAAAGATAGCATTATTGGCACGTTCGTAACTGCCTCTATTCCTGCTTTTACAACACTATGATAAATAAAAAACCGTACCGTTCATAGTAACAAGACATATTTTCTTTTCACTACTACTGTATCGAATATTTTAATTTTTCCCTTCATCTCGAGATTTCCTCCTCTCGTAGAAAACTGTACGGTGCGAATTACGTACGCGTACAAGTACGACGTCGTGTTCTCACAAAATGTGACAGAAAAGGATCGATTTTTTGTTCTGCGGTTATTGGTCATGTATCAGTTTGGCCTGGCCGTCAACTATTCATTTGGATTTCGTTACTGTAAAGTACGAAGTACGAGATACAAGATACGAACTCGTACCTGTACGTACGGTACCGGTAGTCTCGGAACTATATTTTGTCTTCATTGAGAGACCACAAGTAGTAGTACTTCAGGGAACGGGCCTTGATATGTGATATCCCATCAATTCATTAACAGAGACTCCTAGAAGTAACTACTCGTACCCATACAACAAAACGAAGAAGCGTTAAAGCAGGTGTCTATCATTCCAACTTTACAAGAGAAGCCTCCAACTTCAATTTTGCAGAGCAATTTCTGGCAAAGCAGATTTTTGGCATCATCAGTGCAGTTTTAGGTTGCCAATTTGTGTTTCAACGCGATTTTTTTTCACTCTGTTCAATGTTATAAAGTGAACCATTCCTCCCTGTCTTTGAGGATGTCATTGTACCAAATTTCTAATAAATGGTTCTTGGGCTGCAACGGTCTACTATAACATTCTCCCCTTCTTGTGGCACTGTTATCCATAATAGCGAAATAGAGAACAGTTTGATAGCAACTTCGATTTCGGCTGTGTCGCCTTTTGCTACCATCGAAGAAGAAGTTGGGACATGGGACGTTATATAGCGCCATGGAGAAACGTCTGTGCTATCGTTGCACTTCTCAATGAGACCGAAACACCTTTTGCGACATTACAACGGGACAAATGTATTAGCATTTTCGTAACGAAAGATCTGCCGTTCGATTTGCCCTCTGTCCAATGAATAGCCTTCAACCATGATTTCACCACCGCCATTATTTTGTTGACTACCGATGTTATTGGTATTGCTACCTGTAGTCTCTTCCAGGAGCACTCGAATGAGTGAATCTCGGCATCTCTCGTAGGTCGGAGGAATATCTTCCCACGACGACGTCTGAGTTTCATCTCTGGTGGACGATGAGAAGGAAAAAGGACCGATACCTGTCTTTCTCTCTTGCTCCTTACCACTAATAAGACGACTAAGTCGTGCTTGAATCTTGTCACTTTCCTTTCCCATGGCCGCCAGAGACACACAACCCGACGCGCTCCGTGCCAGGGGATTCAACACACGCCCTGACGGTTCAACTATCAGCAATTTCGGTTTTTGAACATCCTGGACCCCGGTCGATAGGATCATGGTTTGTACTCCAAGGGGCCGAGACCAGGAGGATTGGTGGTCGTCGTCGCTGTCGTGTTTTCCAGGCAAACCGAGGGAAGATTGCCACTCCCGATCTTCCGGTTGCGCTGCAAATCTCCCCAAGAGTCTCGCAACAACATGGGATACAGCAGGAACTGACATCACTGTCGTACCGTAGCGTTCCCATACATCCGCTGCGTATTTTTGTATTTGCTGGAGCAACCAGTTTGCGTCACCTTTAACGCCCGTAAAGCAAATGGCAAGCAAGGATGTAGGATCACTCTCGAGTGGAAGTTGGATGGGGTGCAAGATTGGGGAATTACCCAGGGATATCACCATGAGAAAGGACGACGAATGAAATTCTTCAACTGATTCGGTTTGGTGCTCCTTATGCTCATTTGCACGCGATATCTCCGGCTGCTTTCCCGTGCTGTTGTTGTTTTGATCATGCACAATATCGACGACGGCAACCACCACGGATCGCCCATATCGCTGGGCAGCTTCTTTTGCGTGACTCAATTGGACTGCGTTTCCATAATTGTCCAGGGCACGGACCGACACGTACGAAGATGATAAATCGCCGCTGCCGTTGCCCAAGGCGTTAATCGATACCAAAAGAAAAACGAGAGTGACTGCGGTGGAAATCCCCATCCATCCAAGTGGGCGAAAACCCACCATTCTTTCTTGCTAAAACCTCGGGGGGGGGGGGGGGGTCGGGAACGAGATTATCGCGCGATGTGTTCTTTCTCTTGTACTGGTAACCCGAGGTGCTGTGAAATGGACAGGTGCACGGACTGGGACCGCGGAACTTGAAATTGTGATCTTGTTGTCTTATTGGTGGTGGAAACAGAAATGATTTTCACAGAGGCACACTCGGAGGTCAACAGCATCATCGAAATCGACTTGCGTTATGTTTCCGGTACTACTGTATTATTTTCTTACTTCTCTTCTAGTACAAGTACATGCTAAAGTACTTTCTACTGGTCCACTATGGTACTCTACCGTACCACAAAAAAAATGAGATTTTAGGAGTCACGAATGCTCATTCACGTTCTAGATCAAATAATGCAAGAGGATATTTTTCAAATTCATTACAAATTATTTAAGCCAATCATTTCTCTTATAAGCCCTATTTCCATTTGCCAACGTGCTGTGTCCGTCGAATGTGTGTCTATCTAATCACAACAACAGACGGTACGTCATGTAGTTTTGTTCCTTTTACTGTACCGTATTTAATTTTTCAAAAACTTCTAGTTCAATTTTGAAATGAATTTTGAAATCGTAATTTTCTCGACTGCCGTTCGATTCATCACCGTCATGGACCACAAGAGAAAACTCAACACAGGTCGACCTTAACCTGATCGAGATACGGTCGTTTTACTTGGTTGTTGTCGTTTCGGAAACCTATCGGATTTTCGTTGCACCCAAATACCAAAAATGAAGTCATGGCGAATTAGACTCGTCTTTCACGGCTTGGTCGTTATCGGATTACTCTGCATGATATGTGTTTACAAGAGGGCCATCCGTGACTTCAACTCGAGGGAAAGATCTACATTGGCAAACGAGTTCCATCGATCTCAGTCCCAACAACGAAGCATACATGAAATTCATTTAGGTGGATCTCGGGACGGTAGCGTTGTTCGCCGATCAGAAAGCAAAACACAGGCACAAATCGTCGTGGCTCCATGGACTACACTAGCAAAGAACCACCATAATACGGACAGTTCTAGTACTGGTAAGACCAAAAAAGATGATACGGAGCTTCGATCCTTCGTCTTTGCAGAACCCGCAAAACTGGATTCGGAATATGGTGTTCCGATGACAAAAGTGGACAAAAAGGAGCTTGAAAAAATTAAGCAAGAGGCCTCTCGTCGACTCTGTGCCAGGAGCAAAAAAGCCTCGGAAAACGGCAAGGCAACTCTTAGATGCAAAGAAAATTTAGATTTGTTGCGATGTGTGTCGTGCTCTGAAAGAGATGGAACGTGGTACACTGCCGTCAGTGAGACTGGAGCCGGTAAGTTTATTTGGTTTAAAATTTGAAAACTATTGCATTCATGTTTCCGAAGTCCTCTTTGGTCCAAGAGGACCACATCTATCATACATGAGTTCGAATCACTCATTGAATACGACTTTTTGCTTTTAATGGAGCAGTTTTCGGCAAAGTTTTCAACGAGACATCTCTTAACTTTCCCAACTACAATGATGGCCCCTTCATGTATCAGCAGCTTGACATTGCGGTTCCTATTTCTGGTGAGGACGACAAACTCCGAAGATTTGCAGCGAAATTGGGAGCTTCCATTAAAAAATTTCGGTCTGGATTATTTGGTGCGAAAATCACGATCCGTCTCTTGATTACCAGATTTCCATTCGAAACACCAGCGGTTGGAACCAGAGGGCTGGAGAAGTTTCGGAAACACCTAGCTAAGGCTGCCGGTCTGTTGGATGTAGCCGATGATGTTGTATTTGTCCCCGTGAAGGGTGTTTCTCAATTTAGCCGTGCAAAGGCTGTGAATGCTCTGCATCGCAAAGCGTATCATGAAGATAACAGCGCCTTGGCCGTAATTGATGTAGACCTGTCCATCGAATCCAAATTTCTCAGGAATGCGTTAACATATACATTTCCGGGCGGTACGTTGATATTTGTATGTTTAAGTTAAGAAACCGATTCCCATGTCAGACTCAGAATGGTGTATTATTCCTCATTCATCGCAAATGCAGCCTCGGCATATTTTCCAATTATGTTTTCTGCATACGATCCAAAATCTGTGGAACTTGTCGATAAATTTATTCCACACAACAACCGTTATAGATTTTCCGATCACCACGGACACTGGAGAAAGTTTTCTTTTGGAATGTATGTGATAGCGGGATCGGATGCACCGCGTCTCTCAATGAACGAGGATTTTGTAGGATGGTACGTGCTAGGCACAATCAAAAGCTTTCATTTATATGAACAAAGACGGAAGTCTCACTTGTTCTGATTCATCAATATTTAAATTCTGTGAACCACACGACTGATCAACAGGGGTGGAGAAGACAACGATTTTTTTTCTCGAGTTTCGAGAAAATTAAACATCATCCGTCTGCGAGAAACTGGCTTAACCCATGTATGGCATCCCAAGCACTGTAAACTGGGTGGATTCGTGGAAAAAAAATATTATCAGGCATGTATCGGTAGCATGGCCCACTTTGAAGGATCACAGCTTGGAATGTATCTGAAGAATCTCAAAGAAAATGATCGAGCATCCTTCGATGAAATTATGGCTAGCGCTAAGGGCAAAAAATATGAAAACAAGAACCCAAACGCAGAATCGATCATAAAGGAAGCTGCCCAAATAGACGAGGAAAATCCGACCGTTCTTGTAGGCGTTGTTTCTTCGAGATCGAATTTCGACACTCGGGTAAAAAGTATTGTAAAAACTTGGGGCGATCCGCAGAATATCCCTGAGGGAACCTTGCTCCGATTCTTCGTGGGGGGTCCACCCGAAGATAGTGAATCTTATGGCAAATCTAAAGACGAAGACATTGAATATCTTGCCAAAAGTGCTGGTATTAAGGATTCATCCATGGTAGTAGTTATGGATGGAGTGGTCGACGACGAGTACCCACCAGTCAGAAAGAATACTGCAATGATTGAACGAATGAATAAAATTGTCGAGAGCTTTGAAAGCAACACTGATGCGCCATCTACGTTCCAATGGATATACAAAGTTGACGATGATGCATACGTTAATTTCGATGGAATGCTTTCTTTCATTCGAACGCGAAGTACTGAAGGCTATCGTATTTATGGAGAACGAGGAACAGGCCGCAAGGAGGATAGCAATGGATTAAAGAGAGGGGGGCTAGTCAAACCATACTGCACAGGTGGTCCAGGCTATATCATGTCTAGGCAGATGGTGAACGCAACAGCACCTCATTTCAAAGAATGTGTCGAAGAATTTGACAACTCCGAGGAAAGGAAATATGTATGGCATTCTGATACTGTTATTGGGCTATGCATTTACAAGGCAACAGGGGCGGGTTGCTGGGACGAAAATGACTACCACACACATAGAATATTTCGTCATAATCTCAAGAATGAGGATCCTTTCATTTCGACAGCCCATTTGGGAGAGACTATTGCTACTCATCCTTTCAAAGATCATTCGTTGATGGCAAAACAACACTCAAGATATATTGAACTGGCATCAGCTTTGATGTGACGAGGATTCACATGGCAACATAAAAAACACTAAACGTGCTTTTTAAAAACTATTTTAGTTGGTTTGATGTTAGATGAAGTCCTTGAAGGTAAAATATCAATCTATCCGGAACCGAATACAAATTGATCGGAGAAACCATGGCAACAACCAACAGATGCAAAAAATTGAAAAGTGGCGTTGTGGCGCTGCGTATAGCACCAAACGGTAGGAGAAATCTTGACTCTGATGGTGAAAGCAGATCTTGCGATTACCATAGTCACCTTTAGTGAGATATGAATTCCACATGGACGGTGCTCGTGATCAAAATAGTGATAAATAGAGACTCTAGCTTGAAATTTTGAAAATGTACCTTGGACGTAGGTTTGTGAATTTCTGATGGGTTGTGATTTAGCCTCGGATCGAAAACATCACAGCAAGAAACAAAACACAACAATTTTTCGCAACAAGGGCTCGGTAAACTATTCCCAAAGTTACCAACATTAATTTGAGGTTAGGAACATTCAAGTAAAGTAAGAATATTTAGCAATTTAGGTCTTCATATGAATACGTACCAGGCCCATTCTGCAGTAACACCATGGCACATTCCAGCAGTTTCTGGTCAGCAAGCAAATTAGAGACCTAGAAATCCAGCACTATGTGAGATTCACAGAAGTCTACTAGTGCTAGTACTAGTGGCTTGGACTTCTTGGTCCCCTGACCAGCATCCTCCTGTTGCAATTTATCTGCAAATCCTGCACTCTTACTGGGACAATCATAATGCTGGTAGTGCTAAATTGGCTACTGCTAGTACTAACAATAATCAATAGAACTGTTGGAATGTTAGTATATCACTGGTGTAGGTCTACGTACATCCTGGTAAAATCCCCATTCTTCAGTTGATAGCACAAGACCAGCATCCAAAAACCAATAATATTTGTCTTGTTTCCTAAAAAAAGAAGATGATGCCTACCCTGCTAGCATTCAGATTGTTCATTTAAGCAAAAAACTGCAGCCAGTAGTAGTCATTTTCAAGTTGGCATTGGGAAGCAACTTTATTTCTAACATTTGGAATGCCCTGTGAAACATAATTTCAATCAATCTGCAATGTGTAGTGTGTAACATTGAGCTTTTTATTCCAAAACCAAAGGTGTTACTAGGGGACTCTCATTTTGGGATGGAGGAAGTAGTGGTCAAACAAGAAAATTGCTCTGTCCTTGCCTGCTAATGAAATTCTATTTTTGAATCAAGCTAGTCAAAACAGAAAAATATCATAGAAGTCGAATAGAATTAAAAAGTACAAAAATAGTCATTATTTGCCTGGAATTGTCCTTCTGGAGCTAGAGAGTTTGAGGGGGAGAAAGATGTAAAAACATGATATCAACATATTTTTAATGTAGAGCATTTACTCGGTTGAACGCATTTTTTCTGAAGAAATATGAAGTTAGGGAAATGAGAGATGTTGGTGGCAGCCATGAGATGAGTTTGCTGATGTGCTATTCAAAATTTGACTTCCACTTGCAGGGCACCACAAAAGACTAATCTATCTTTACTCAGAATACCTATTATTAGTCAATCAGATTGCTTGATCATTAGTACGAGGTACGAAGGCAAATGTATTGCTGGAAAGTGAAATAGGTTATGAGTACATTAAAAACGCTCAGTTTTTGCTAGTCAGAAAAAAACAGCACTAGATTTGTCTCACCCTCCTGACAAAGCTATTAGGACATTTTTCTGCCAACACATACGCTGGAATAACTTCATTAGAATAACAAGCAGAAGGGGATCCACCAGAAGTCTCAGATTGATCAGCCAAGCGATTTTTTTAAGAGCCCTCAGTAGTATTCCCACCAAGGTCTGTAGGAGCATCCTACAYATAAATTAGTACTACCAAATATTTTGATGTAAAAATACTTCTTGTTTTTTWAAATTTTGGGACAGGTAGAAAATGGGAAGGTAAATGAAGGCTATTGTTCCCTCTGTAGAGCTGTATAATCTGTACCGACTCCGGACCTGTCTCGGCCTCATTTTGCCTTCCTACCTCGTACTCTACTACAAGTACGGTTACTTCGTACCTACTGTAAGTATTATTTTTATCCCAAACTCTAAGAAAACATGAAAACTCAAACAAAATCCCTTTTTAGTTTGTTTCGAACTGATGTGAAGCAGGACAACTGACAACTTGAGCAGACCTAGAGTACTCTAATTCAGACGGTACTCGCTGACAATTGGGGATGCATCGGCCATCACACAATGAATAAGGAGGCCAACGATGCGACATCTAAAGATGATGCTTTTGATTACGTTATCGTTGGTGCAGGTCCTTCTGCAATGGGCATCCTGCGAGGCCTTCTGGAGGAAATTTCTGAAGGTTTTTCGAGGAACGATTGCTTGTCGCCGTTTTCGATTGCCATAGTAGAACGTGGGCAGGGTCCACCTCATGATGAGGCTACAATTTCTCCACACCGGTGGTACGAGGCTGCAAATCCAAATAGTTCCTCGGAAAACGTGAAGCTTTTCTCGTCGGAAATTTTGGGGCGACAAATGGACATCCCATGCGGTATTGGGTTGGGTGGAACTTCGAATGTGAACGCATGTTTATGTCTGCCACCATTGCAACAGGATTTAGAGTCGTGGCCAGAACCGTATAGATCATGCATTCGATCAAATGCAAGCTATTTGAAAACCATTATGGAAAGACACAATGCCATACATTATGCATCGATGGAAAATATGTGCACACCRTTTCAACAAGAAAACTCCCTGTTAGAGTTTGGCACTAGAGTTCCGACCATGGTAGAATGGAACAAGACAACTGCAAAACCAGTCAGACGAAACTACTACGATGCTCTCGTGAAGCCTTTTTTGAAACAACATCCGTATCTAGAAAAATATTTGCACTGGTTTCGAGGTTACGAGGCGCAACGGCTTCTACTTACAGAAGACACAAACCATGTGACCGGTGTCGAATGCATTTTCGTGGGTAACGAGTGCACCTCTATATACCGACAAATTTATGCCACCAGGAGGGTCATACTTTGCACTGGTGCTATTGGGACACCAGCGCTTTTGATGGTATCTGATCTCGGTAACAAAGAATCTCTTTGTGGAGTCGGTCAAAATCTTCAAGATCAAGCACTGCTCGCCCGAGTCTTCATAAAAGCACCTTCGAGAAAGGTTGAAGTGGCCTCGTCAAACGGCATCGTTGCACTTGGACATTTAAACATCCCAGAGAAGGATTGTAAGGGCAATTGTGCCGTCTTTCAGGTCGCCATTACCGATTCAGTTGCAGATGCATCAATTATCCCATCTGTCGTAGCAATGGCATTGCGTTGGAAATTCCAAAACATCTTTCTCATGAAACTCGTAGAAAATGCATTTCGTTGTGTGAGGGCCTTTGTGCGACTTGCCATCCTATGCACACCTTTAGGTTCTATACTTCATTATATGACTACGACCACTATGATTTTTTTGATGCATCCTCTGTCGAAGGGAAGTGTCGCCATATCACCCAAGGACGAAGAGAGTATTAGAGAACCTAAAAGACTCCAAAACATGTCGATTCAAGTAGACCCAAAATATCTATATGATCCTCGAGACATGAGATCACTAAAAACTGCTTGGGACGCTTTGGAGAGGGCGACCCACCCTTCATCTTTCGAGATATTCCCACGTCCTATATTCTTTGCACTGAGTCCTTTTAAAAGACAATGGTTTCAAATCTACTGCCACTGCTTTTTGCTCCCATATTATCACTACGCAGGAACTTGTGCCATGCAGTCCGGAATAGATAGCGAGGATAAAACCGATTGGGTAGTCGATACCTGTCTGAAAGTCCGTGGAAACAATGGATTGTATATATGCGACGCTTCGGTCTTTCCTTCTATGGTCTCGAACCCTCCGGCGTTGACATGTGCAGCTTTGGGATACGAGTTTTCTCGAATGATTTCCACAGAATTGAGKAAAAAAGAATAATGATGTCGAAATAGCAGACGCCGAGAAAAATATATGGAAATGATTTCTGAATTCGAATAGTTGCTAAATAAACTAGAATGGGACACACCGGTCTCGTGACATGAGCTCGCGTCCTTTTACTGATCATTTGAAGTACGTAATCTGATTTTGGTAATAGCTGTGCCACCGTCGCTACCTGCACTTCTCCTCTGCTGCGCGGCAGATGCTATCCATCCTCCTTGCTTGAACGCAGTATCTCGGACTATAGGTGGCAAGGGCTGGCCAATACCTTGTTCAGTGGCAGAAAGATCTGAAACATTCGAAGATTTGATGTTCGATTTGTTCATTTCAAAGGCCTTTATCGCCATTTCTCCCCGCCACACCTGTCTGTCGAGCTCCTTCTTTACAAGTTCGTCAAGTGTAGCAAGAGATGCCTCCTCCTCTTTTGCTGCTTCCATTTCCTCTGTTGAAGTTTTCATTACATTATCCACGCCAAGCTCTTTACAATTCCCAGACCATTGCGTAGGCTTCCTTATTTGCACTTGCATCACAGCGAAACACCCCTTCGGCCACAGCCATTGCCATAAAGCTAAGAGAGTACAACGGAGTTGACCATCGGTAGCGCATACTCCGACGCTTCCTTTATGAAAGCCTGTAACTGTATCTGTAATTTCAATCGGTTCTCCGTTGATAGTACGCCAAAGTTTTGTCGCGAAGCAAGCTACCCGAACAAAGAGCTCTTCGCCAAGATCTCCTTTTCTAGGATGACCGGCCCATCTTAGAAGCTTCAATCCATGCCGAGCACCATCATTTACAGCACGTGCAGCTGAGTAAGAAATGCCGTTAACATTTGTGACAATCGCTGCTCCCGTGTCGCCCCCATAGCTTGCGCCAAGAGGCCCATGTATGAATCTTGCAGCAGAGGCCACTAGATCATTGCGGCCTCCGATTGCACCAACACGTTGCATTGAACATATTTTTCCAGAGCAAGCATCAAGCATCAATTGTGCTAAAGTCTGTCGGAGCCCCGGTGATGTGTGTGGATCGACAATCCGCTCAAACATAAACTCAAGAGCTGTAAGAAGGCCTACACGACTTTCAGTTTCAAACCTATCAGTGGCACAGCATAAGCAAGCGACAGCCTGAGCACATGCTGCACGAGTTACATCAGATCTGACTGGTTTTGAGTCAAATATAGAAATATAAAAGGAAGCTGTGGCGACCTCATCAAGCTTTTTGAACCTCTCTTTTGTTTCGCCCTCCTGAGAGTTGATGTATTGGACGGTAGTGATATCTGTCGTACTCTGCCGAAGTATCGATAGCGTATATAGAGCAGTAATGGCACAAGGTGCAATAGTGTCGTAGCACACACCCGAGACACCGGTAAGAGACTTCAACTGGAAGTCCTTCCGTACACTTTCTCTGTACAGTTCCCATTCCAGCCATCGACGGCTAACCTCTATCAGATTAGATACGGGATGTCTTGCGGTTGACTGGACCGATTTTCCTGTGGTAGGATCAGTAATGAATGATGGACTCACATTGATATGACAAAGTGCCAGTAAGGCATCTGCAATTAGCATACTAGAAGCATATGGCATCGAAGTAACAACAACATCGTCAACTTCATCGCCAGACTCTTCATCTTCTCCTCCTATTATGTCTTCGTTAACTCTGCGGCATTTTCTTTCGATCAAAACTTCTTCGTCGGGAGTGACAAGGTTTCCAACCATCTCAGCATCTACAGCTTTCAACACAGTCTCAAGGAATTCCAATACAGGAGTGGGTGTCATGTCGTCTTTCGCACGTATAGATGCGATTGCAGTAATAACAGCAGACCTAACTCTATACTCTTCATCCTCTTCAACTTCAACTTCGTCAGCTTCCTCGAGTACAGCCGATCTCTCTACACCCTCGTCGAAATCATCTAGATATTGATACCCATCGTCTTCGTTTGCCTGCAGTGATGGATTCGAACCATCTACATTGTTGACTGTTTGCGAAGGCTCGACATGGTTTTTCTTGACTGCTATTCTATTGAATTTCACTGGCATTACAGTTTCGTTACTGTAAAACCTTTCTCGAAAGTACTGAATCAAAAGGTGGAGCCCAACCCAATTTGATTGTCCCATGTCATTCTTGTGCTTTGGTGCTTTATTGTTTTGCCACTGAGCTATTGCTAATGCAGCTTGTGCGCGCACAGAAGGTGTATGTGGTAAAGAGCTGTGTAATGCTGGTGTTCCGCGAAGGCAATCTCCCAAAACTCGTACTGGTAACTCAGATACTTTTACATCGTAGACAGAGGATACCTTAACAGATCCTTGTATTTTTGTCGGTCTCTCTGCCAGAGCCCGGAGAGCATCCACCTGGGCGCCAGCATCGCCGTCATGAAAGAGCATCTCGGCTAAGCATGCATCTTGTTGAGTTACAGCGATTTTTCCTCCATACAGAAGCATCGGGTCGACCCTTACCCATAAAAGAGGCGTAAGGTTTGTAATGCGGATCAATTCGATCGCTTGATAGCCTTTATTATGTATGCTTGATTCTGTGAACGCTCCGATGGGCGAAAATGTTATTCCAAGGGGACTCCTGGAGTTGGAGCTCGAGTCTCCTTTATTTGAATCAGCTGATTGCTTAGCACCGCTACTGCCACTCTCGATAATTCCGCTTGCTGCTGTCTGGGCTTTAGGTAGTGTTACAGGTTTTGCATGAAGCGTAACTGATCCCCAATCACGTCGACTGCCGTCAAAATTCAAGTCCTTCACCCACTCACGGAACTGCCCTTCATTTTCAACAACACGGAGTGTTATCGGACCCCCATATGATATTCCACCTTCAGGAATTACAGGTTCTGCGTACGCCTGTAGCTGAATACCCTTCGATACACCAGATACATCCTTTGCTGGCTCGACGTGAACACCAACGCGCAAATACATCTGTGAGGCCCCCCGTACATATGAATTTGGAAATCCCTCGGGATCAACGAAAGGACTGTTTGTTCTAGGATCTCTCGAAGTACGCTCAACATCAACCATTCGTCCTACCAACTGTTGCTCTCGGACACGACCAGATAGGTTTTGCAGCGCACGTGTAAATAGTGTATGAGAGAGACCTTTCTTTTTCAGGATTTCATTGACGCATATTATAAATCTTGGCTTCGGTCTTTCAATAGCATCTTTTTCTTTGTCCTTATCACCCCCCTTCTCTTGATCACTCGTTTTTGCATTTCTTTCCAATGGATAATTCAGCTCMTGTCGACCAGTGTCTACGAGATGTGCCGCAACAAATGATGCTCTCACCAACCGAATGAAGTTGGCAATGCCAGCTCTTCCCTCGACAACGCGTCGCACGAGATCACCTTTAAGAGCACGGTATGGCAGTCCCCCAATCGGATGCTGAAGTTCTAGTGCACCACAGCCTAAAGCAGAGCTACTGTTTGCATTGCTAGATAGATAGGAAAGAGAAAAATGTGATCCCATCCATCCCATTGAAGGGGTAGGGACATTTTGGACCTTTTTATCCATATCTGTTCCACGCTCAAGGGCGCTCACTGTATCCAATGTGAGCAGCTGTCGGACTGCAAACTCATCCATTGAAGAAGTATGTGACTCAGTCCCATTCGATGCAGAACGCCACAATTGATCATTATTTCTATCTTCAACAGGAACGGCACCAACGATTCCACCAACTATCCCATCATCAAAATCTACCTCTTCAATATTCTGCACTGGCAAAAAATCCAAATTTGAACTATTCAACCCGCTCCTACTGGCAAATCGCTTCGTGAAAAAGACGCCCCCTTTACCGCCTCCTTCACCATGAGCTCCGTGTCCACGATCGTACAAGCTCATTATCAAACTCTCGATAAGCGTGTGAATGTATCCATTACCTACGTCGTCACGACCACTCAACGGGATAGCAGACATAATCCAGCCCCGTATCGCGCAGCGTGCTTGGAGGAATTGCAGAATGCGACCTCCTTGATAGTAAGGGAGTCGATGATTAACAGGCGGTAACAGTCGAGAATCCATTATTGCTCCTCCTAAGAATGGATTGTTCATTACCTCTGGGCAACAGTGGAGAGATCCACTTGTTACGCCACCATGAACTGCTTCTGGGATCCAAATTTGAGTGTATGATGAAGTGCGAAAAGCTGGGAGCGCTAAAATGTCACGCATTAATGATAGTGCGCGATGCGGAACACCGACTGTGGACGTCAGTACGGTTTTGTCCAATTCTTCAAGGAGCTCGGTTTGTCTTTTGGTTAGTGGAGTCAGATCAAATTTGGTGTCAGGAATGAGTGATACGTTCGATGATGTTGCGTGTATGAACTTTCTAGCAAAAATTGGTGCGAAGTATGCTTGCCGAATTCCTTCCCCATTATCTCGAGCGGCCTGTATTGGATCGTAGATTTCTTTGCTCTGGTCATCGTCATCTTCGTCGCTCGAAGAATTACCGCTTTCGTCTTCCACCAACGAATTCAAATATTCGGGATCCTCAAGTATTCGAAAGGGTCCAATTGCAAAGCCTTGTGATCTCGGTGATATCGGGAGCCAACTGCAAGATTTCCATATACATGTGGCGAGAATTGAATTGATGGATGTCATTTTACAGCTGTGACAAACCTCTGGAGGTATGAGATGCGGCGGATCGGCGGTGCTCTCTTCACCGACGTTTCCATGGATGGAAGTGTTGAGTAGCCATTCAACGTGATCCTCTCCCACCTCCTTTTTCATTTTATCTATATCTACAGCCGTTCGTTCATCGCCGGGATGTACCACGAGTCGGTCATGCAATAGAGTCTCATGAACTCCAAAATCTTCTCCAAATCCAGTTACTGACAGGCCATCTTTCATAGGGGCAGTCACAGTGATGGTGATTTCGTGAGAGGCTCTGTGTCGTGAGGAAGCAGAGTCGGTTGTTGGAATCCACGACCGAGGACCTTCGTGGTCACCATAGGCCCCACAGGTCGTGTAGACATGGGGCGTTTGATCCTTCGTAAGAGCGTGTATACCTCCCCAATGCCGAGTGGAATCATTGCTACTGCCACGACCCAAATAAATCTGATAGCAAACAGTAATTTTGACGGCTCGATCGTTCTGTTTTGCCATCAAACCAGCAACTAAGTCGATCCTAGCATTCTTTCTCAGAGAATTCCTTTGTTCCATTCGTTCTGCTAATCTCAAAGAAACATCTCCGGAAGCATGAGCACCTTGCATGTCAAGCTTCCAGCACTCCTTTAGAGCCTCCTCTCTGTCACTTTCAGGTACGCTTTTTTCATTCTTATTATTATTGTTCGCTTTCTTTTCTGAACCCGTGATAGCAAAGATGCGAAGTTCGCCAAGGTTACTCCCAATGCTGGCCGCACGAATGGCGTTCGTCATTCCAGTGGCACCTCTCGAAAACTGAGAATCAGCTTCGTGGCGTTTAGTCTTAGCTTTCGCGTCATCAATGGTGTATGTTTTTGCTGGTTTGAGAAGGACTCGCTCGAGCGGATCAAAATGATGGAACACGGTTTTTCTTTTCACAAGTTCTTGCTTTGTCTTGAGTGAAACTGCTCCCGCCGAAGGTAGTGTGGATGGCGTTTCAACCTCGACGGAAGATACATGACAGGATCCCCGCAAGTGCAACGCAGCGTCGAATTTTCCTCTGTCTCTGGCAGTGGCCTCGTCTTTGATGGTCCCTTCGTTTTGGAGGACATACAGGCTGGTCTTGGCTTTGGCATACCACGACCCTTCGGACGTCGGAGAATTCGAGGGGCGGTGGAGATAGAAAGATAGCTCTGATTGTTGATGCAACAGCTGCAAGTCGGCAACCTGGGCTGGATGGGATGGTGTCGATATCGCGGGTGGCTCGAATCGTCTCTTTTTGGGAGCTTTATTTTGTGCTGGTGCACCGGATGGGGCAGATCTCCCCTGCGGGTTCTTGACACTCAAGCGCACAGAAACGCCAGTGCCCTTGCTTCTTTCTCCTCCGGCTGGCCTTACTGGCATGTTTGCCTATTCCTTTCTGCCACGTAGACTTATAAACAATCAACTTCTCTGGAACACAAAACAAAAGATGGTGCAACCGCTGCTTGTTGCATTACGAAAGAAATATCCTACCGGTACGATTTGACTTTTTGGAGTTGACGAGAGGAACTCGTCCTCATGTTACGAGTATGAGTGCGAAATAAGACTATTGATTTCTAACAGGTTATGAGTACATTCAAAACGCCAGCTTTTAGCTATCAGCTGCAAGCTTTGCTTGCTTGTAAATGCTAGCAAAGCACCAATCAAAATAAGAGAATGAGTCAGTCAGAAAGGGTTTTCTTTTCTCTTCATGAGCATGTGCATATTGCTATGTGAATTTTGATGAGAGCTTGTTGATTTCTCTCTGTACCAAAATTAAAAAACTCTCATTTACTAGCTAGTAGTAGTACTAGCAAGTACTAGTAAGCAATCAACCCCAACACAGCAGCAAGCTATCACCTCTTTAGTTCTTCATCAATATCCAACCAATAATGCTCACAAGACAAGTGTTCTAATCCTTACATTAAGGGCAAAAGAATCCAAAAGTTGTGGACCAAGTGGTTTAGAAGGAACAGTACTGTAACTACTAACAGTAGCAAAAACACAAAAAATTGGGGAAAAGAAGCTCCATTGCAACCAGCAAAACACCATCTTCCCCTCCATAACATAGACAACCAGTATGTCAAACATCCTTAATATATCAAATTAGAGGGAATCCGGAAGTTTTGGATCAATTGACCAAGCATTTTGAAAAAAAAAGCAGATTTTTCTACATTTTGACCATCACACAACAACAGCAATAACAACAACAACAATGAAGAAGTCGGCGCCAGCAATAAGGGAGAATTAATTAATTAATTAAATTTAATTAACCCATTAATTAAATTTAATTAATCATTTTATTAAATTTAATAAAATGATTAATTAAATTTAATTGATTAATTAATTAAATTTAATGAATCCCCCATAGTACTCTACCTACGCGAGACTGCCATTGCATTAATAAATTAAATTTAATTAATTGATCAATTAAATATTAATTAATTTTCATTAATTTTTAATTAATTGATTAATTAAATTTAATTAATCGATTAATTAAATTTTATAATTGGTGAGATAGATAGACTTTTTCCAAATAACAACCTTCCCCCAAACCATTGTGACGAACCCAAGAAGGCATATCAAATGAAGTGCATGGAATCTTCTCTGTGTGCAATCAGCACGCTCTTTCTTGTCCCGTTTTTAGTCTCACGGGACTGATTTTGTGGCTGATCGGTAGCTCTCCAGTGTTCTGTGAAGAAGAGACAAGCAATGTTATTTGCTCAGTTCACTGGAGATGAGGCAAACAACAAAACCTTACAAAGAAGAGGAGTACAAATGTGCATGGAAAGGATGGCAAAGGGCCCCCTAATTATCTTGAGAGTTCTATGTCCTCAAAGAAGGAACAAGAACTATCAGCTTTGACCTCCTCTAAGGAAGTGGCCTTAATCAACAACTTGGAAGAGCTTGCAAACCTATCAGGCCTAAAAGTGGAGAAGTTGGAAGCAAAAATATCAGTTCTCACCAATCCAACAGGAGCAGTGGTAGCACCAGGAAAAATCAAGGATGACAGCAGTCTGAAGAAGGGAGCCCTTGCACCAGTCCTTCCAAAAGAGAGTCCATATACTCCTAAACAAGCTCATATCAAGACAGTTAACAAGTTTTTACAAAAACAGGCTTGTGATGATGCTTTCAATGCTATTGCAAAGAAAGTCAGGTACAAGCAAGAAAATTTGCCGCMCAACTGCCAGTCATCTGTTGTCAGTATTGTATCTCAGGTTAATTTGCTGTACAACACATTGCTGAAGGCAAACACAGTGCAACGACACTTGAAGGACAACCTCAGGGCTCCTGGAAAGGGATGGAAGAGTTTGCTTCTGCAGTCTATTATGATAGTTGCACTGGGATACACCATATCATCTTTTGTTGCTTTGACTTACAAGGAAAAGGAAAAGATTCCTCACTGTGAAGGATTTGTTGCTGAAGACTTGCTTAGTGCCAGGCCCATATTTGCTAAATAATTACATAAACCTTTACCAAAGACTGCTTCCAACATTTGCTGGGCACTTAAAGGTTACAAATAATGGTAACAAAAGTGAGGGAAAACAAGTCAAGTGGACTATGGACTATGTATAATAATATTAACATGCGGTTTAGCAAACTGAAACACTAGTGCAATGCAGTCAGTGTGTTTACTATGTGTTGCAGATCAATTGAAACTATTGTGAATTTAACATTCTGAATCTTAATTTAACATAGTACTAAGGAACATTATTATGTCATTGTACTAGGCCTACTACGTGGATCCTAGTAGTATTCGTCCAATAATCAATGTGGTAGTGCGCTAGTAGTACCTTCACAAAAAAAGATTTTGGTCTTGCACATACCTTAAAAACGAGGAAGATTCAGACTGTTACACAGAGCATTCAGGATGTTAAATTGAAGCAAAAACCACAGTACTCATTTCTACTTAGCCTACACTGCTAACGTTTGGAATGTTAAATTCACATTGGGAATGCCCTGTGAAACATAGTTTCAATTGATCCGCAACGTGTATTGGGTCATTCTGGTTAGTCTAGATGGTCTAAAAATCTAAAGTAGACCTTTTTGACTTTTTAGTTTAACGGGAGTCATTAAAAACAGGGGCCCAACGGACATTTTTTACTAGGCGCTCTTTCTGGCCTCGAAGGAATTTGGAATCTACTAACTACTACTACTAGAAAAGTGCAACGAATTTTTATTGGATAATAATGAGTCATGCRACGGATTTTCATTCTTGGATTCTGGTCTAGATTTAGACTTTCTGTAAGGCCGGGAGTGGAGCGTTGACAGAAAGTCTAAAAATTAAGACTAGATGGTCTATTTTTCGTCTGTCTGTCTTCCAAAAAGTAGACCATCTAGACTAACGGGAATGACCCATTATTGGACCAAGGTAGTGTTTTCATCGTGTCTGGCCATCTACCGAACAACCAAAATCGACGAGTGTCGTTTTGAAACCCAACAAGAAGAGAAAGACCGCGAAATGGAAAATTGAGACGTTACCAAAATCAAAACCCAGAAATTAGTAGAAAATACGTTCCGTACCGTACGTACGGTACAAGTACCATACTGTGCTGCTGTACAGTAGTTGAATATTGCTTCCTATCTACTGTACTACTGTACGATGTACGTACATCCCATCGCGTACTGGCTTGTGATGTTGGTTAGTTTGACGAAAGGATGCCCTCTAGCACATAAAAAGGAAGAGARAAGTCACGCAACAACGATCTAGATAGAGATGTGCATGGCTATCTTTGCTGCTGGCTTCAGAAAAGCTGGCATTCTATTGCTATTGGGGTTTTTACTAATTCTTCACAAAGATGTCGACGACAGGTCAAGATGTTCTTTGTTTTGCTATGCGAAAGAAATTGAGGCTACCAAAGAATGGCAGCGCGTCGAAGGAAATGATACCATCCCTGCCGGTGCACATGTGAGAATGGACATGACAACCGGAGAAAAATGGGTGAAACTCATGGACGATGACGACGACGCCGAAGTCAAAGATGTTCACATCAAGAAAAATGCGGATGGAAGTGGTGAAAGTTCTGTAGCAATGGCGGTCGTTGATAACGACGGATCGGTCACCGTAAACGAGGTCAAGAAAGAGGATATCACACAGCCCCAAAATTCAACGAACTATAACTTTGAGATGATGCATCGAACACTTTCAAAACTACCACCAGAGGAAATAGTGGCAATGGGTGGCCTGCCTGAACTCCCGGATTCCAAAGAGGGTCCGTTGAGGCTTGCCTTTGAAGAACGCATGCTGGAAATATGGAACGAGCGCCAAGCAGATTTGCTTGAAGCGGAATTGAATTTTCCTGAAATTTTGAAAGCAAGGATTGCAGGCATCAAGGAGTACCTAGCAAACCCCGAAACGGAATTGAAATCTATTGATCTAGAAGCAGATTACGACGATGACATCGTCACCGACATCGTGTCGTTATTAAAAGATTTGGAGTTTCAGCTATCTGATATTGACATGGCTCGAGATTTTCATACAATGGATGGTTGGCCCTTATTGGTGAAGCTTGTGGCGGAAGAATCCCACGTGCCAATAGATCAACGAATTGACGGGCTTTCACGAGTAAATCAAGCAAAGATTCGAACTATTCAATCTCATGCTGCTTGGGTCATCGGTACTGCAGTGAAAAATACAGAAGAATTCTTCCCATACGCAGTCGAGCCAGTAGCTCTGAAAAATGAAAAATTGGTCACAGCGATCGATCTGCTCGTTGATGTCTTCTGTCAAAAATATGACGATCCGAGCTCATGGGAAATTAGGACACTTTTAACAAAAGGCATATATGCCATAGGTGCATTACTTCGAGGGAATGCTGTTGCGCAAAAACAYGTCGCCGAATTCAAAGGTTTTGATAGATTAGGACAGAAATTCAAAAAGCTTTCGCAAGAAGGCTTCAATTCTGCCAATACCAAATTGATTCAAAGGTTAGCAGGATTGTCCGCAGATCTTGTCGAAGACCTTTCTGTTTACCTCGAGTTATCGGAGGAAAGGATGGACAGTGAAATTATTCTATCTCTTAGTTCAAGCTTCTGCAAAGCCATATGTGAGCTATTTTCGTCTGATGTATTTGTTCCAGTAACTGTACAAGAGACATTGGTGAGGGGGATCGGTGTCTTGGGTCCTCATTGCCAAGATTCAAGTTGTGCAGTGAATGACCTTCACTCCATCATCGAAAAAATTTTGGCAGACTGGGTGGAAAAGAAAGAGACATTTGACGAAGATCATTTTAAAGAATTGCAAGATATGGTGACTGGAGCTTTGAAGTCACTGAATGGACAAGCAAAAGAGGATTAACTGATTGTTTTTATCGATAGCTACGGTACGCAATTGACGAAGACATTATTTATTTAAAGAAATTTTCATAACGCTACAATTACAAGTTCGAAATTAGTAAGGACTTTCTGCAGCTCAGTTGATTGCCCTGCTCAAAATTGGAGGATTACATACATTGAACAATAAAAACACAATCAGGATCTATGAGCTGGGCGCTGCTCGTATATTGTTTTACGCCTTGGGAAGTCACCTTTCTATTCGACACTGCGACCAATCTTCTTTACCGTCATCTGGTTTTTCTCTCAGCGTCATTAACTTTGATATCTACTTATAAAGCCAACCCGAATCAAGTCCTAAATAGAATTGAAACTTTTCAGCTTTCTTCAAAGCATTTAGTGAGACCGAATTTCTGCTGGTCTCTTCTTGAAACTCAGTTGCTAGCAAATCGTTTCGCTCCATAATCCACTCTTCTAAAGCCTTGGTAGTTTTGAGGGAATGCTTTTCGATAATTTTTGACGCAAAAAGTGCATCCCGCAAGTTATCGACATTCAAATGTGGAACTCGGCATCGCTGGCTTTCGCTAAACATGTCAGGAAAATTATTTCGCAAACGCTCCGCCACTTCGTTGATAATTTTTCTATCTTTTGCTTTCGCCACTCCTGGTAAATCCACCAGCTTCACTGGTTCAGCTTTATTCACTTCCAAAAAAATCTCTTTCGTCTGCAATTCTTCGTCATGCTCTATTTGCGACGGGAAAACTTCCACTAAAACTCTTTCAAAGTTAAAATCATCGTCCGACACTTTGTCTTTTAGGACTTTCAACATACCGATCCGATGCTGCCCGTCAATAATAACGAGGCTACCATCACTGTTCTAAAATTATTGCGGAAAAAGAAAAAGGAAAGCGTTGAATTAGATGATACTTGTAACAGTCTGACCAGTACGTTCGTACTTGTATGCTCCCTTTTCGTTCCGTTACTTACCTCAAAAATTCCAATAATTCCTGGCATACCAAGATGAAGAGTTTTGATTTTGTCGGTAGCCATGCTTTTGGAACGTCCGTGTCGGTATATTCTTTGCTTTTTCCACACTGGAATAGTGGCCAGGTCTTTGGAGGAGGCAAGATGGATCCTCTTGTACCCCAAATCAGCAATAAGGGGTCCTAATACTGGGTGTTCTCCAAGAGTGTTCGATTTTTTGTTTTTGCTAAGTATTTGAGTGTCAGAATCAGTCTYGTGTTCCATTTTTTCCTGTTCCAATTGAGACTTCCAAGCTTTAAAGGCAATCTGCCTTTTCTGAATTGTCAGATCACTCTCTATGCGAGCACGAGCTGCCGCCTCTGCCTCTGCTTTAAGTGCCTCTTTCTCATTCTTCCACTTTTCTTCGTATCGCTCTGCTTCTCGCAACTTGGTAGCGGCTACCGCTTCTGCTATGGAAGGCTGGTAACTCGTCATGTTATTTTCTTCTTCCGTGTCGAATCCAGTTGCTTGAGGTGAGGCATCGTCACGTAGTTTTTCAGAACTTACTTTACGATTATTGGCTGATAATTTGCCAAGCAGTAAATTTCTTTCCTCTTCGGGCAAATTAGACGTTAGTGCATCGGCAGCCTTCCATCGCAATGCATTGAAGTAGTCGCCAACAGATCCGCCTTTGCTGTCGCTATTCGTACTAAAGTGGAGTATGGAATACAGCTGCGTACTACTACGAGAAGCTCCTCCTGCAAAAGCCCAGCGCAGCGCGTTATTAGAGTGATGGGACAACATTGTACCCTTTTGATGCAGTGACCGAAGCCTATATTTTCCTCCTTCTTTGCTCAAGCCCTCAATTCAGTCTTGTTAGCCGAATCATCCATTGATAGACGTACACATACGTTCTTTCCGTATTTCTTGTGAAAGAAGTCGGAATCATGAACAAGGTGGGAAGAAAATTCTGTATTGCATCGTATTTCGTATTCTTACTGCTAAGAGTCTAGAGTTGAGAAGTACAATTCCCGTGCTGGCAAGTTATTGGCATTCCCCGTACAAATACTAATAGAAATTTTTAGCTCATTTTTACAGTCAAAACCAGTTAAAAAAGGCATCCAACAGACAAAAATAAAAATAATTCCATTGTTTAATTTCTCGCTAGTCCCAAAATATTTCTATTAGTGGTCCTTGCTTAATACTGGGGATAAGCACTGATTTTGTATCCGCAGTAGTAAGGATCACTAATAGAAATATTTTGGGACTAGTTTTTTGTGTGGAGGGGGGGGAAGGGGAAATAAAGACAGGAAAATTAAAAAAATGACGTACAGGAAATTGCCTTTAACTTGCCAGCACTGGAATTGTACTTAGTAGCTCTATAAGAGTCGTACCATGCAGGTACTACTAGTAGAGGTATTAAAAACCATGGTAAGTCCCGTCCGTACTGGGGAGGAGTTATTGTCAATTCCTCCTGTACAAATGCTAGTAGTAGAAATTTTCAGCTCATTTTTACAGATAAACCCATAACATTAACTGCCAATGCAAAAAAAAAAACATTAAGAAATTCTCACTCAACTTCTGGAAAAATTCTGGCCCAGATAATGGCTAAGGTCTGCGCTAGAATTTTTCAGAAACTGAACCTGTTGAACCAGTGCATGATTTCTTTTTCTGGAAATTGTGCATCATTTTTTTTCTGGTGGCGGCTCAGAAAGGAAAATGGCAGATAACAATACAGAAACAGAAAGGGAAATGGAAATGGATGTGGAAACAGAAACGCAAACAGAAATGCAAACAGAAACAGAAAC